CCGGGTGCTTCTGGCACCGACACTCGCAAACTGGGGGGAGCCAGTGCAAGACATCCAGGAACAAAAATAATTGTGTTCTTTTGGATGTATTGTGTTCCCTTGTGATAGATGCTGCCAACTAGAGGAGAGATCCTGGGTCAGGCTTTTTGAAATGCTTGTGTTGGAGTTCAGAGGCTACATGATGCCTAGCAGCTACTTGATGGCAGATAGGAGGGAGGGCCAGAACCACTCTGGTCCTGTAGAGTGGTCTCTGTCACTGGAACTGCGTCTCCCCCTGCACACCTCCAACATCAGGGCAGGTGCTGTGCTCAGGTATTGCATAGCCTTTGAATAGACTGAGCAACCAGATGTCATCTCCTTACACATCACAGCGGAGTTTACTGCTGCTTTTGTCCTTGCCCTTTATTGAGAGTTTACAGTACTATTGTGCCTTGGCAGAGCTCTCATTCTCAATTATGGGAGGAATGGATCCAGTCAATTGTTTGAAGAGACCTTTGGTATTTTCCAAAGGCCATTTTGGTTTTAGAGCTTGGACATCTGTTAACATTTACCAATGTGATGGGGGATTGCCTGGAAAAGAAGTGGAACGTTATTTTACTTGGGTTTTGCCAAGTGTGCTTTGGCATGTTTGAAGAGTGGCCTGCCAAAGTTGCAATGCATATCTTAGCTATCTCCCTTGCACTTGAAGAGATGGGGACTGGGCCAGGTAGACCTCCATAGCTGGCAGCTTCCCCTGCTGCCCAGCCAGACCTGGAACATGATGGTTCTTCTCCACCTCCAGGTCTCAAAGCAGGGGCTGGAAGTGAAGATTGGCTTGGCTAACAGACATTCTTCACTGGTGGCATCACACCTCACAACGTGACTTGGTGACTGAGAAAGTGGTTGCAATCTCTGTGCCTGGACATGTTGGCTACAGTTTGCAGTTGTTCTGACTGTTTTATGTAGCCCAACAAAGACTTAAGATGAGGTCAGATTTGGGCAAAAAGCTCACTAAAGCAGGCGGGAGGTCTAGCTGAACAAACGGCCTGCAGCGTGACGTTTCCAGATCGCTGAAATGCAGCCTCATTGAGGTTGGAAGGGGCCTCGTGTGGTCACTTGAGGCAGGCAGGGTCAACCAGGGCAGGACCACGTCCAATTTGGGGCATATCCAAGCATGGAGGCTCCACAACCTCTGTGGCACGACCAAGCCAGCAGCAGGCTGAGCTGGGGCCGCCAGGCCCTGCCTAAGCTCTGTCGTGGTGTCTCTGGCTCAGCTGTGCCTGGCCATGGACCTCGCTGCTCCAGACCTCCCTAGGGCCCTGCTTGACCATCACTGGGCTGTGTCTGACCCTGCTTGCCACCACCACGCCTGACTTCTGGCTTGCCCTCAGAGCTGCCACCTCACCAGGCACGTGTTTGTCCCTTTAGGCTCTTGGCTGCCCCGGCTGCCCGCCCTAGGGCCACCCTGCTCCCCTCGCTCGCATAGGCCAAGGCTGGGCCCTGCCCTGCTGGCTGGGGGACTGACCCCCTTGGGCTCCCTGTCCCCAAGGGAGCAGTCTCTCACCCCCTTCACAAAAGAAAAGCTTTTTCCTTCGGTTGAGGCGGGACTCACCCTGCTTCAGCTTGTCACCACTTATTTACACCTTTGCCTTTCAGCAGTCTACATGTCCATCAGATTCCCTACCACCTTCTGCCCAGACCACCAGGAGGATTGCTCTAAAAAGGCGGGAAGAGTCTGGTAACTTATTATTAGCAGTAGCTCAGCACTAGGCCCTGATCTGGGCACAATCACAGTTCAAGTCTCCCCAGAGGAAAAGAACGTAGATGCGTATTCCCTCTTGGAGTTGTCCGCAGGACTGATTTTCATTCAGAGCAAGGGCAGAGAGAAACACACCAACTGCCTGCACTGAAAGAGAACCTCAGTGAGCCTTCAGAGACAGGACTCTTCTCATCCAAACCTGCTAGGGACAAAGTGCTCCGGTTGTGCAGCAAAACAGACTAAAACACAGTTTATTAAATACTAAGCTGCAACAGAACACTTGGAATTAGATGCAGGGTCATGGCTGCACATGGTGGAAGGCAAAGTTTTCCAGGCTTCCTTCATCTTCCTGTGAGCACTCTGTTTTCTGGCACTGGAACTTCCTCTTCTCTAGCATCTTCTCATCACTAACGGTATGGGAGGTTCACCTGTGAGTGGGGAAGGGCAGGAAAAGAAAAGGCTGTGCCTTACTTTTACAGCAGGCTGGGCCAAAGGCAGCACTGAAAGTAGATCCTGGAAGTACAGCACTAATGTGCAGATCCAGATACCAAAAACCAAATGCTCGAACATGTCAACAACAAAGTTACAGTACAGACTCACGTGGAAAACTGCGTTATGTGGAGATATGGATCAACTTGCGTTTTTTTCCCTATTTCTTGTCCAGCTCTTTCCCCCAGTTGTCTTTTTTGGCTGTGACCTACCATGTTAGCCTCCCAGTGCCTTCTGAGGTTAAGCCCTGGTTCTTTCTGAGTCTCACACAAAGTAGACAACTTTTCTTGCGAGTTCTGGTTTTGTCTTGCCTGCTGCATGTGTGTTTTTGACTGCATCTCCAGGTGTTGGGGAAAAATCATCAACTTGTATGCAGCAAAACAAGCAACTCAAAGACAGAGCTCTAAAGTTCCTCACTTCTGTGGAAGTCCATCAGGTGGGTGGCCAGGGAGACTGTGTTTGGCACGTGCTGACAGTAGTAGATAATTAGCAACACAGACAAAAAGTATAGGAAAAGAATCATGCCTGTTGCAGCAGAAAAAAATAATCACCATAAATCCACCAAATGAGCCAGAACTCACCTTTCGCCTTAGTTTGCCAGCTTTGCTGCCCACCTCAGAACAGATATTCCTCATCTCTGCCTGGAATCTGACGCTTTCCCCTTACATAACACTCAGCTTTGTCTGAGCTCTCCAGAAGGTTCTTCAACCTGCACAGCAAGTTAGTAAGGAGAGTGTGAAGCAAAGCAACAATTGGCCTTTCTTATGTAAGCAGCACTGCCATGGCTTGCTTCATCTGTAACATGCTTGACAGGCCAGAAGTTCCTGAAAGCAGCCAGCACTCCAGTGCCAGACATGACTGGGAGGGCCCAAAGTTTACCTGAACAGAGGAAGAAAATGCTTTCTTCCCTCTCAGGAGAACTGCAGGCAGCCTGCATTTGCAAGGCTTTTTGCAGCTTTTTAAAACCCTAGGCTCATGCACAGAAGCACCTTTCAAGATTGAATGCAAGGCCTGAATTTGTTTGCAAACAATGCTTTTACATTAGAGTTCAGTTAAGCTCAACTTCTACTCAATATGATGTTTCTGTAAAGCACTAAAAAGCCATGCCTGGTACGCTCTTGCTCCATTGCAATGTTTCTTCTCCCCGTTTTCTTCAGAAGTGCTTCTGTTCGGCATTTCATCACAGCTAGATTCTTCACTTCCTCGATTTCACTCTCACGCTTTCAAAATAGAAAAGATACATCACACAGAGAGCAGGGGAACAGGATCCATATGCAGAACATGCAGACAGTGCTTTGGATCTCCCAACTCCAGTGTCCTCTCGCAGCTCTCAACCACAGATCTCTCTCCTGTCCACAGCACACAGTTGATCCATCAAAGGAATCATGCTGATGAACGCAAGTGCCCACATATTGTCCACCAAACAGCTTCAAAACACAGTAGCACCAGGGGAATGAGGAAATGTATAGATTTTTCCCCTGAGGGTACCCTGCTCAAAAACCTGGGGGGTTCTCCACAGCTCACCCAATCTTTTCATAAATCACTTGCCCACAAGAAATTCCAAGCCTAAAACCAGTCATTCCCAAAAGCCGCTCAGGTGTTCCTTTGCAGACGGTGTCTGAAAGCGAGTTATCAAGTCCTCTGGGACATTATGAGCCTACAGCAGCATTAAAGGAAGGAAAAATAAGTCACGCTAGGACTTCCTTGACTGAAGAGCACACCTCACAGCCTTTCTTCTTCTCTTGCCAGTATCGGTACAACACAGTGTTTGTCTCTTCCCGCAACACTACCCAAGCACACAAAATCCTGCCCTTGGAGGTGTTGTTCCCTTATTAGTTGTGGATTTTCATCTTTGGAGGTCTCATTGCATTAGGGACCCAGAGCTTCTGGCCAAGGAATACATAATCACTGAAATGGGAAGGTGACTAGAGTACAAGCAACGGAAGAACTCCTGTCACAGTCTGATGATGCCAGTCAGGCCTCCAGGATGAAGCGCTTGGCAGCACCAGAGCCCAAGGAAAGTCCACAACCAAAGGTACCAAAGCCCTCTACTACATGACTGTCTGAGGTGCTGCCAGAGGTCTCAACCTCATGACTGGTCTAAAGCAGAAAATACTTAATAAGCCAGTGCATTACTGGCAACTCCTTAACGAAGATGGCATTATGTAGGACTTGCTGGAGCCTCACGGGACAACTCTCAAAGCCAGAAAGCTGGGAAATGAGCCAGTAGGACTTTCAGGGCAGCCTACAGTCAGGAGAACAGAGGAACGGATCTCTCCCAGGCCCCCCAGGAAAACCTCTTCAAATTTCCCCACAGGAATACCGACCTAAGCTCTGTAGCTCATGAAAAGGGAAGGCTCTGACTAGCTTACTGAGGCAGAGGCTTGCTGGTCTTTCTGAAGGGCTTCAGTGGTCTTGGCTTGTTGCTGTGCTGTGGCTTCCAGCCTGGTCATTACAACTTGGAGCCTGGAAAAGAAGTATAGACCTTATCGCAGAAGTCCACAAGAGCACAAATCCCAAAAGAAGAGTGTGAAAGAACCTTATCTAAAGCAAAAGCATCTTTGAAAACTCTATTATTATCTTGCTGGGGTGCAAGACAGTCATTTTGTTTTCACACAGTCACAGAAAGTGAAGCCTGGCTTCACTGTGTTACTTCCTTACTGTTGCACTTGTTCTTCCAGCTCTGGGATAGCCACAGCTGCAGAAGGCATGGCCAGAATGGCCTGCACGTTCCTGGAAGTTGTTAGTTCCTTCTCCTTTATGGCATTCTTCAGGGACTCGGCATAACACTCCGTGCAGATATACCTTTCTTTCACTTCCTGCAGCTGTCAGAGCACAACAATCCCCAGTAGTCAGGCTTTGGTTTGATAAAAGGGAGTGAACTGCTTTGACTCTCATGTTGACTCTCAAAACCCATGTTACTTCATCTTTTAGACTGGCCCCTCTCCTATGTCTATACTGGTTTCCTACAGCATTTCCTAAATGCTGCCATGACACTTCTCTCTCAAGGATTCCAAACACTCTTTGTAGTCAATTGTTGGCTCCTCCAACACAGTTAGAAGCTCCGCCTGCTCCTAAAGTGACTTTGCAACTCCATAACAAGGACGACACGAGGAGGGAATACAAAAAAGCACCAGTGCAACACTCCAGTGTGCCTGTTCCTCCTCAGGCAGCACACACTCTGCTTTGCCAAAACCAAAGAAGCAAATACACTTGCTCTGTGAAACCTGAGAAGCAGCTTTTTGAAAGGAATACGCCCCCCCTTCTCCAATTAAGGACAAAGTGACTTCACAGTTAGTGACCTTTCTAATCGTAGGCGCCAGGCTTATAAAACGAGGCGAGTCACTTACATGTCCCTTAATCTACTCCCGTTGCAAAGTTGTCTAGTATATTAAGACCACCTTAACGCAGCCCTCTGCTGTTACTTCCAGTGGTGCAAACAAGCAGGCACCAAAGGCAGCAGGGCTGTTCCCTCCCAGCTCCCTCATCACAGCTAGCTGCACACGGAATCACCCTGGGTTACACAAAACCCCCAAGAAAGGGTCAGTTCCCTGCTCTGATTTGCTACAAAAAAGGCCAGGGCCCCTGTCAAGAGACAGGCTTTCTCCATACCTTGGCTTTAGATCTGTCTAGTTCCTTCTGCAACCGCAGTTTTTGTTCCTGCAGGTCCCTGCTGTAGCACTTCTTAGCTTCAAGTGAAGCTTCTGCCAGGGAGTTCTTCCTGAGAGCATCGGCAAGATCTTGCTGCAGCCGCATGACCCATTTCTAGAGAAACGGTGTTCCATGAACATGGAGAAATTGGTAAGAAGATGGCAAGACGAGAAATGCTTTTAGTCATAGGATTATATAATTAGATTGGTCTTCAGGGTGGCCAGCAGGTCGCGGGAGGCGAGTCTCCCCTTCCACTCTGCTCTCATGAGACCCCACCTGGAGTACTACATCCAGCTCTGGGGTCCCCAGCACAAGGAAGACATGGACCGGTTGGAGCGGGTCCAGAGGAGGGCCACAAAAATGATTAGAGGGATGGAACTCCTCTCCCATGAAGAAAGGCTGAGAGAGTTGGGGTTGTTCAGCCTGGGGAAAAGCAGGCTCTGGGGAGATCTTATAGCATATATAGAAATACAGAAATAGCAATATCGAAAGATGGAGAGACACTTTTTACCAAGGTCCATAGTGACAGGACAAGGGCAACAGTTTTAAACTAAAAGAGGGTAGAGTTAGATTGGACAGAAGGAAAACATTTTTGAAACAAGGGTGGTGAGACAGTGGACCAGATTGCCCAAAGAAGTTGGGGGATGCCCCATCCCTAGAAGTGTTCAAAGTCAGGTTGGATGGGACGTTGAGCAACCTCTGCAGCTTTTCTGCTTCAGAATAGGAACGAGATGAGGTCTGAAATACACTTCAGGTCCACAATCAATGACCTCCTCTCAGCATCACTCCACAAGGAACTCAGTAGCAAGAACAGGTCTCCATACAGTGACAGGCTCTATTTGTGGCTGTCTGTGTCAGTCTCTTATAAAGTCACCTGTCTGTCACAGTGACAATCTGCTTGAATTGAAGCATCCTTCTTTAGCTGAACCTCTTCTCCAGTGCAGAAACTGGAGTTAGCATTGTCACAGACAGGCACTGGGGAAAGGAATCCCCAGCAACATTGCAGCATCACACTGCATTTCAGTATCAGGGCTACAGAAGCGTGACTTCTGCATTACCTCTCTAAGAAAAAGTACTTTATTCTCAGAACAGGAGTCAAAACCTTCCTCTTGCTCTGCTCTTCCTACCGGCAACACACCTACAAAGGAGGCAAGAAGCACAACGCTGCTTATTTCACTCTGCTTCTCCCCATCTGCCTCACTCCAGAGAAGCTTATAAAGGTAACCATTTAGTATGCCAGGAACTTGCCATTGCCACGCTCCTCTGCACCAGAGTGCGCATGTGCTCTGTGTTCATCCGCAGGTGGAAGCAGGATGCCAGCTGACTCTTTCTTTAGATCTTCAGAATCCAACTGAGGAATTGAGAAGACATGAACGAAAATTAGCACAGACTCCTCCTCGACCCATTTCTAAACACAAAGCTCCTGCTTCAGCCAATGTGCTGTGATGTGGTAACGGGTGGCAGAAAGTATGAAAAGGGCAAACAGAGCCAGCATGTTAGGCATCTCTGTTGAACTGGGCTTTCAAAAGGGGATGAAACACACTTGCCCAAGATAGAGAGGACCTACTCATAAGCAGCTAAGCATCTGGACTGTAGGCCCTATGGGCAACCATTTGACATTGACTGGATCCAAAGAAGAGCTGTGTGGTGGAAAACCAGCAATCCTCACAGTGACAGCTTTCTAGGATTTCAGTGATCTGTAAGCAGCAGGAAGCTTTACTGTTTCAGTCCTGTATTAGAAATCCAGCTCAGAGATCAGCTCTAGGAGACCCAGGTCATTAGCTTGCCCTCACTTTGTCCCAGACCTCACTGAACAGCTTGCCTGCAGCACCAGCATGTCAGGGCCCAGTTACAGGCATGTGGTAGAAGCAGCCACAGAAGGAAACGAGACCAAAAGCAAGTGAGCCAAGTGAGGCACCACTGCCTCCTTCAGAGAAGGTACCTCAAAATCAGACCAGGAATCTTCATCTTTCTCTTCCTCTGCTCCTGCTGCTGGCAAGACACCTACAAAGGAGGCAAGAAGCACAACGCTGCTGTGAGTGCTTATTTCACTCTGCTTCTCACCATCTGCCTCACTCCAGAGAAGCTTATAAAGGTAACCATTTAGTATGCCAGGAACTTGCCATTGCCACGCTCCTCTGCACCAGAGTGCGCATGTGCTCTGTGTTCATCCGCAGGTGGAAGCAGGATGCCAGCTGACTCTTTCTTTAGATCTTCAGAATCCAACTGAGGAATTGAGAAGACATGAACGAAAATTAGCACAGACTCCTCCTCGACCCATTTCTAAACACAAAGCTCCTGCTTCAGCCAATGTGCTGTGATGTGGTAACGGGTGGCAGAAAGTATGAAAAGGGCAAACAGAGCCAGCATGTTAGGCATCTCTGTTGAACTGGGCTTTCAAAAGGGGATGAAACACACTTGCCCAAGATAGAGAGGACCTACTCATAAGCAGCTAAGCATCTGGACTGTAGGCCCTATGGGCAACCATTTGACATTGACTGGATCCAAAGAAGAGCTGTGTGGTGGAAAACCAGCAATCCTCACAGTGACAGCTTTCTAGGATTTCAGAGGATCGTAACCAGCAGGAAGCTTTGCTATTTCAGTCCTGTATTAAAAATCCAGCTCAGAGATCAGCTCTAGGAGACCCAGGTCATTAGCTTGCCCTTACTTTGTCCCAGACCTCACTGAACAGCTTGCCTGCAGCACCAGCATGTCAGATCCCAGTTACAGGCATGTGGTAGAAGCAGCCACAGAAGGAAACGAGACCAAAAGCAAGTGAGCCAAGTGAGGCACCACTGCCTCCTTCAGAGAAGGTACCTCAAAATCAGACCAGGAATCTACATCTTTCTCTTCCTCTGCTCCTGCTGCTGGCAACACACCTACAAAGGAGGCAAGAAGCACAACGCTGCTGTGAGTGCTTATTTCACTCTGCCTCTCCCCATCTGCCTCACTCCAGAGAAGCTTATAAAGGTAACCATTTAGTATGCCAGGAACTTGCCATTGCCACGCTCCTCTGCACCAGAGTGCGCATGTGCTCTGTGTTCATCCGCAGGTGGAAGCAGGATGCCAGCTGACTCTTTCTTTAGATCTTCAGAATCCAACTGAGGAATTGAGAAGACATGAACGAAAATTAGCACAGACTCCTCCTCGACCCATTTCTAAACACAAAGCTCCTGCTTCAGCCAATGTGCTGTGATGTGGTAACGGGTGGCAGAAAGTATGAAAAGGGCAAACAGAGCCAGCATGTTAGGCATCTCTGTTGAACTGGGCTTTCAAAAGGGGATGAAACACACTTGCCCAAGATAGAGAGGACCTACTCATAAGCAGCTAAGCATCTGGACTGTAGGCCCTATGGGCAACCATTTGACATTGACTGGATCCAAAGAAGAGCTGTGTGGTGGAAAACCAGCAATCCTCACAGTGACAGCTTTCTAGGATTTCAGATGATCTGTAAGCAGCAGGAAGCTTTACTGTTTCAGTCCTGTATTAGAAATCCAGCTCAGAGATCAGCTCTAGGAGACCCAGGTCATTAGCTTGCCCTCACTTTGTCCCAGACCTCACTGAACAGCTTGCCTGCAGCACCAGCATGTCAGGGCCCAGTTACAGGCATGTGGTAGAAGCAGCCACAGAAGGAAACGAGACCAAAAGCAAGTGAGCCAAGTGAGGCACCACTGCCTCCTTCAGAGAAGGTACCTCAAAATCAGACCAGGAATCTACATCTTTCTCTTCCTCTGCTCCTGCTGCTGGCAAGACACCTACAAAGGAGGCAAGAAGCACAACGCTGCTGTGAGTGCTTATTTCACTCTGCCTTCTCCCCATCTGCCTCACTCCAGAGAAGCTTATAAAGGTAACCATTTAGTATGCCAGGAACTTGCCATTGCCACGCTCCTCTGCACCAGAGTGCGCATGTGCTCTGTGTTCATCCGCAGGTGGAAGCAGGATGCCAGCTGACTCTTTCTTTAGATCTTCAGAATCCAACTGAGGAATTGAGAAGACATGAACGAAAATTAGCACAGACTCCTCCTCGACCCATTTCTAAACACAAAGCTCCTGCTTCAGCCAATGTGCTGTGATGTGGTAACGGGTGGCAGAAAGTATGAAAAGGGCAAACAGAGCCAGCATGTTAGGCATCTCTGTTGAACTGGGCTTTCAAAAGGGGATGAAACACACTTGCCCAAGATAGAGAGGACCTACTCATAAGCAGCTAAGCATCTGGACTGTAGGCCCTATGGGCAACCATTTGACATTGACTGGATCCAAAGAAGAGCTGTGTGGTGGAAAACCAGCAATCCTCACAGTGACAGCTTTCTAGGATTTCAGAGGATCGTAACCAGCAGGAAGCTTTAGCTATTTCAGTCCTGTATTAGAAATCCAGCTCAGAGATCAGCTCTAGGAGACCCAGGTCATTAGCTTGCCCTCACTTTGTCCCAGACCTCACTGAACAGCTTGCCTGCAGCACCAGCATGTCAGGATCCCAGTTACAGGCATGTGGTAGAAGCAGCCACAGAAGGAAACGAGACCAAAAGCAAGTGAGCCAAGTGAGGCACCACTGCCTCCTTTCAGAGAAGGTACCTCAAAATCAGACCAGGAATCTACATCTTTCTCTTCCTCTGCTCCTGCTGCTGGCAACACACCTACAAAGGAGGCAAGAAGCACAACGCTGCTGTGAGTGCTTATTTCACTCTGCCTCTCCCCATCTGCCTCACTCCAGAGAAGCTTATAAAGGTAACCATTTAGTATGCCAGGAACTTGCCATTGCCACGCTCCTCTGCACCAGAGTGCACATGTGCTCTGTGTTCATCCGCAGGTGGAAGCAGGATGCCAGCTGACTCTTTCTTTAGATCTTCAGAATCCAACTGAGGAATTGAGAAGACATGAACGAAAATTAGCACAGACTCCTCCTCGACCCATTTCTAAACACAAAGCTCCTGCTTCAGCCAATGTGCTGTGATGTGGTAACGGGTGGCAGAAAGTATGAAAAGGGCAAACAGAGCCAGCATGTTAGGCATCTCTGTTGAACTGGGCTTTCAAAAGGGGATGAAACACACTTGCCCAAGATAGAGAGGACCTACTCATAAGCAGCTAAGCATCTGGACTGTAGGCCCTACTGGGCAACCATTTGACATTGACTGGATCCAAAGAAGAGCTGTGTGGTGGAAAACCAGCAATCCTCACAGTGACAGCTTTCTAGGATTTCAGAGGATCGTAACCAGCAGGAAGCTTTACTGTTTCAGTCCTGTATTAGAAATCCTAGCTCAGAGATCAGCTCTAGGAGACCCAGGTCATTAGCTTGCCCTCGCTTTGTCCCAGACCTCACTGAACAGCTTGCCTGCAGCACCAGCATGTCAGGGCCCAGTTACAGGCATGTGGTAGAAGCAGCCACAGAAGGAAACGAGACCAAAAGCAAGTGAGCCAAGTGAGGCACCACTGCCTCCTTCAGAGAAGGTACCTCAAAATCAGACCAGGAATCTACATCTTTCTCTTCCTCTGCTCCTGCTGCTGGCAAGACACCTACAAAGGAGGCAAGAAGCACAACGCTGCTGTGAGTGCTTATTTCACTCTGCTTCTCCCCATCTACCTCACTCCAGAGAAGCTTATAAAGGTAACCATTTAGTATGCCAGGAACTTGCCATTGCCACGCTCCTCTGCACCAGAGTGCACATGTGCTCTGTGTTCATCCGCAGGTGGAAGCAGGATGCCAGCTGACTCTTTCTTTAGATCTTCAAAATCCAACTGAGGAATTTAGAAGACATGAACGAAAATTAGCACAGACTCCTCCTCGACCCATTTCTAAACACAAAGCTCCTGCTTCAGCCAATGTGCTGTGATATGGTAACGGGTGGCAGAAAGTATGAAAAGGGCAAACAGAGCCAGCATGTTAGGCATCTCTGTTGAACTGGGCTTTCAAAAGGGGATGAAACACACTTGCCCAAGATAGAGAGGACCTACTCATAAGCAGCTAAGCATCTGGACTGTAGGCCCTACGGGCAACCATTTGACATTGACTGGATCCAAAGAAGAGCTGTGTGGTGGAAAACCAGCAATCCTCACAGTGACAGCTTTCTAGGATTTCAGAGGATCGTAACCAGCAGGAAGCTTTACTGTTTCAGTCCTGTATTAGAAATCTAGCTCAGAGATCAGCTCTAGGAGACCCAGGTCATTAGCTTGCCCTCGCTTTGTCCCAGACCTCACTGAACAGCTTGCCTGCAGCACCAGCATGTCAGGTCCCAGTTACAGGCATGTGGTAGAAGCAGCCACAGAAGGAAACGAGACCAAAAGCAAGTGAGCCAAGTGAGGCACCACTGCCTCCTTCAGAGAAGGTACCTCAAAATCAGACCAGGAATCTACATCTTTCTCTTCCTCTGCTCCTGCTGCTGGCAAGACACCTACAAAGGAGGCAAGAAGCACAACGCTGCTGTGAGTGGTTATTTCACTGTATCTTTCCCCATCCCTCAAGTCCTGCATCCAATTGACTATTATTCTCCTACAGGCCACAGGGATTTGTCCTCATCACCTCCTCCACACTGAATCCTCCTACCTGCAGGTGCACCCGAGGTAAATTCAGCAGTCAGCGCAGAGCAAAACCTGCCATCTACTGCTGGGCCTTCTGTGCCTCTTGCAAAACATTCTCCCATCCCTTCATAGAACATGTATTTCTCCAGTTGGTCAGCAATACTATATATGGAAAGGAAGGAAATCCATTTGTTAAAAATACCCCCATACTTGCCTACATGCTCTACTGGAAGAGCAGCAGCCATTCATGAGCCATCCTACCCATATTCATAGCCAGTTGCTAACGGGTAACACACACACACAACTTACTGCACTACTGGAGTAGTGGAGACTGAAATACTCACTGCAGGCATGTTCACACTACAGGTGCCAATTCTTGTCTATGGAGTAACTCATCCCTGCGGGCTACAGCCTCATGTGATAAACCCCCTCTCCGTTTCGAGGGCCAGTGAGATAAACAACCCCCCTGTCAGACTGACATCTAACTACAGAGCCTCTACCTTAGCGTGAAGCTATACTAATGCTGCAGCTACTCTGCATGTCAAGCTGAGGTAACATCTCCTCAAACCCTGTCCTGACTTTGAAGGGCTTCAGAAATTCCCACGGTTATTCTGAGGACCTGAGAGTAGCAAGAGGCCAACAGCAATTGCAGTTGCATTTCAAGCACTGCAGGGGTTAACTACACTGCATAGGTGTTATCTTCTAACAGCCCTGACAGAGGGTCAGTTGGGGCTCCAGAGAGAGACCACTTTCAGTTTTGCTTCATAAGCAGAACTAAAAACCAAACAAAACCCCCCAAATAAACAAGAAAAGAAAAACATTAAAAACGTGCCCCAGACCAAGGCTGCTATGTAAAATGGTGCATTAGTGCAACACTGATACTGTGCCAGAAACCTAGAGGGAAGGAATTAACATCTTGTTTTGCTAGTGCAATCTTCAAACATGCTGTATTCCTGCAGGGGTTTTTACTCCACAGTTTACCCAGGCACCCTTCCCTCCTGCTTCCCATTGACACAGACTGACAGAAGGGGCAGGGGAGGAGAAATGAAGTCCAGATCCAGTGACAAGAGGTTACCGGCGGTTTATGGCTAGACAAGGCATGCTTGTAGGCATAATGCAGTTCATTCACCCATCACTAGGCTACCATCCCTAGGGAAGAGGGCTATTTCCTTCAGCGTAGCTGTTAAGCACACATAGCCACCTTAGTGAAGGAATGGCCAGGGGTGCAAAGCTACCCATGAGAGGAGGGAAAACTGCTGCAGAGTTTAACTCGGGGGATATCAGTTAGATTCCCTCTGAAACAAACCACAGGCAGGTGCTAGTCAGTTTAGTTCAGTGGAGCTTGGTAGCACACAGGTGGATTCTCAAGAGAGAAGTGCTGGGGGAAGTTTCCCCCCAACTTCCAAATCCACTCCTGACATGGAAACAGATGCATCAGAAGATGTCACTGAGCCCAGCTTCAACAAAGGTCTCGACACCTCATTAAACCCTGGTGATGTTACCCAAAAGGGCCATACATCAGCACAGACATTCTGAGAATGCAGCTGCTCTAACAAGGATGTAAAACACTTACTCATCATGTTGAAACTCCCTGGCATAGTACTCAGCTGTGCAGCCAAATGGGTCTTGATGAGAAAGATCAGCACCGTGATGAAGGAGAATTTGTATTATATTCATATCCCCAGCACAAGCAGCAAGCATAAGAGTGGTCCTAAAGCATCAAAGAAATGACAGGAAATACATCAGCTTCTGCAGACATTGCATTGCCATCACTTCAGTCCCTCTTTGCTCCCCAAACAATTCATTTTCCCTTTCCTATAGGCAGAGAGAAAGCACAGCCAAACATGGGGTAGCATCAGAGAATTCCAGTTGGTGGGACCTCAGGAGGTCTCCAGGCCAACCACTTGCCCAGAGCAGACTCAGGGCACGTGTATGCACGAGCGTGGCACCACAGCCAAAACTTTCTTGCAGTCCTCAGAAATCGTCTACTGAGCTAAGAGCACAGCCGAGTGTGGGTCTGCTTTCACACAGAATTTGCTCCTCTTAGGCAGCTCCTGGTTGTCTTTTGAAGCTCATTCCTACGCCTCCCATCAATCCAACTTGAACAATGCTAAGGAGTCCCCCGTGCATTTCTGACAAACCCTTCACCTTTTACGGTTATCTCGAGCGTGCACATCAGCTCCTTTTTGAAGAAGGAACTCGACCATCTCTTCACAGTGCTCGGTGATCGCAAGAGTAAGCGGAGTGTATCCCAACTGAAAGGGGAAGTCATCTCCCTTAGTACAACACATAAAAGTCAAGCAAGTTTGAGGAAGAGGAGCCTTACCCAAAGTCCAAGCTTACCTCATTCTGCGCATCAATATGGGCCTTGTGCGCAAGTAACAGCTCCACTAGAGATTTATTAGGAATGACGGCAGCCAGGTGAAGGGCAGTGTTGCCGCCGGGACCTTTGAGGTCAGGGCTGGCACCATGCTCCAGCAAAATAGCCACACAGTCTTTGTGCTGGCGCTCTACTGCCTGGAAACAAGACACAAAGGAGGAATAACTTCCAACATCTACATTTCTCTCTGACAGAACTCCCGCATCTTCCCAACACTGCAAAGTGTGAGCATCTTCAAAGATTAGGCAACATACGCCTCTTCACCGCTGACTACAACATATCTGTTTCTACACAGGACTGCGTAAAGAATGATGCAAGGTCTATATTGCTCGGTGCATAACTGATAAGCCCCACGTACAACAGTGTGACCTATTCCACATACCTTCATCAGCGGCGATTTCTGAAAACTGTCACAAGGATTTAGCTTGCACTTTTTTCCTGCTAAAAATCGAACGACAGCTGCGTGGCCGTTCGCACAAGCAAGATGCAGAGGCGTCCTAGAAATTAAACGTGTTTGGTTAACACGGACACACACAGCTGAAGACGTCCTTTCAGGCTGTGGTACCCACCGCATAAGGCCACAAGCCTCAAATGGCAAAAACTAAGCCGAGAGCAAACTCTCTCCTGCCAGAGCTGGTGGCAGCACTTGCACACCTGAAGCCTGGGGCTGGCTAGGGAAAATCCCCAACACATCCACTGAGTCAGGAGGAATTTCCTCAGCTGTGCCAATGAACCTGCACAACCAGACTCCTGTGCCCAGGCACTGGTCCCTGCCTCCGGCAGGGCTGCCCGGCCACCTGGCGCGGCGAGGGAGAGCGCGTCTTGGCAGCCGGGAGTCTACGGAGGCTACACAGGGGACTGGGGAGTCTGCGTAAGGCCTTGGGTTTTCCCCGGTCAGTCCCGTGCCAGACGGGTCCCAGCGACAGAGGGGACGGGATTTCGAACAGCAACGGGAAGGCTGTACCGTCTCTTCCCGCGACCCCATGCCCTGCTCCAGCAGGCCGCTCTCTCTGGCGACAGGAGAGGAGCCGCCTCTGCTCGGACAACGGCCTGCCGAGCTCCGCAGGACATTCACGACAGGGCCCGGGCCGGCAGAGCACCGCAGGGCAGGGCAGAGCCGAGCATCCGCCCCCTCCCGTCCCCCTGGGGCACCCGTCCGGTAAGGGCCGCCGCTGCGGAGCCGCCCCTGCTCCTCAGGGCGTTTGCGACCGTCGCGGGCTTTGCCCGGCTCTTTCCACCGGGGCTGGGGGGGAGGCTTCGCGCCGGGCACCGCCCGCCCCTTACTGCTTCTCCGCGTCCCGCTCGTTGATGCGGAACCACTTCCGCCACCAGCGCCGCTGCAGCCGGGCCAGGTCACCGCTGGCGGCCGCGCAGTGCAGCCCGCCCCGGCGCTGCTCCCGGGGCTCGGCCGCGCGGGGCGCGGGAGCGCTGCCGGGCGGCGGCCGCCCCCGCAGCCTCCTGAGGAGCCCGATGAGCCTCTGCATGCGGGAAGCGGCCGGCGGGCTCTGCCGAGCCCCGGGCGGGGAGGGGGAGAGAGCGGGGAGAGGGCGAGAAGAGCCAAAAAGAACCCCGAGCGGCCCCCGGTGCCTCCCGACGCTGCCGCGCTGCCGGTCCCGCCGCGTCGACGCCGGCGCTAAGCAACCGCGTCGGCGCTAAGCAACCGCGCCAGCAGGGGGCGACCTACCAGCGGCGGGGGGACGTCACGGGGGGCGTCAGAGGGGAGGGGCGGGGCGAGGCCGGCCCGGCGGGGCCCGGGCGGCCGGACAGGGGCTCTGAAAATGCGGCGGTTTCGACTATTGAACGGTTGAAAGTTAGGCTGTCGGAGGATGCGTCCTTGGGTGCGTCGGGAGAGGTGGTGGAGTAAAACACGGCGGGGGTGGCCGCGGGCGGGGCTGCTGACAAACCGTTGGGCGTGCGGCAAAGCTTCGCCCTGTCCCACCGCTGCACTTGTCACCGAAATGGGGAATGGAAACGCCTTAACGCCGGTAACGGTCAGGCATTACTTTCTTCAGCCGGGGGCATGAGGGAATCATTCCACCTGACATGTCCACCGCGCGTTACAATAGCCAAAGCTTGTATCGCTCTAACATACATATTCATGAAATTTCCTAAACTCATTATCATATTTACGTAGCTATTACCCACGAGGTTTAGGTCTCGGGGAGGCTTCCACAGGGCCCCTTGGTGGTCTCTAGCCGTCTCTGGCGGTCTTCGGGGAGGAGCCTTTCTTGAACTTTGCATTTTTGAATTGGCCTTTCTCTGGTTTATGTCTGCGCTTTCTTACCTCCTGTCTAGCTTCAGCTAGTTCATTATTTCTCAGAGGGCCTTAATCTTCAAGGACAGGGGTTCCTGATCAGGAGTCTCTCTCAATTTACGCATTTCCCAGGTGGTGGTTACCACGCTTGCCTGGCTCAACGACCTTTGTGTTCCAGGTGTTCGACTGATCGCTCAAGTTCTTCTAGTAACCTAAACAATTATTTTCAGTTTTCCTTCAACCCATTTTCCAACTCACGGCTGATGCATGAGCTGTGTTTGCCTGGCCGCACACCGCTGTCTCTGCCGCTCCTGCCCTCCCCGGCCGATATAGCATCGGCTTCTGCCGGGACTCTTTCTTTCTTTTTTTTTTTTTTTAATGGGTTTCGTTTTTTTTTTTTTTTTTATTTTATTTGTTTGTTTGGGTTTTTTTTGGCGGGGGGGGGGAGGGGAGGGCGGATGTGTGCGTGTTTTGCTGCTCGCCTGCGCTCGCGCTTTAGCCGTTAGAGGGCTGGGAGTGACGGGGCCCCGCCGCCCCGGCCGTGCGGCGCCGATACGGCGGGTCCCAGCGCGGCGGCGGCGGCGGCGGCAGCGCCAGCCCGGGGCTTCCCGCTCGGGGAGGGACGGAGGGAGGGACGGACGGACGGACGGACGGACGGAGGGAACGCCTCCCGCGGCCGCGCCACCGCCCCCCACCCGCGGTGCGGCCGCGCGGGGGATGGCGGCGGGCGAGCGGCGGCGGCGGCTCCTCCCGGGCTGGATGGGGGCGGCGGGGGCCGAGCGGGCGGTGGTGGCTCCCCCCAAGGCCGGGCGGCGGCGGGCGGCGGCGGGGCCGAGGTAGCGCCGCGGCGGGGGCGGGGCGGGGGCGGGGGGCGAGGCCGGGCCCTGCCCGCGCTGAGTGTCTCCCCGTGCGGTGCCCAGGGCGGCGGAGGCGGTGGTGTACTGCATGAACGAGGCGGAGCTGGTGGACGTGGCCCTGGCGGTCCTGGCCGAGGTGAGCCCGGACCGCCCCCCCCCGGGGTGGGGACGCGGCCCTGGTCGTGTCCGAGCGGGGCCGGGAGGGCTCCGGGGCGCGCTCGGGGAGCGCTGCCGCCCCCGGCTGCCTGGGGGCCCCTCTCCGGGAGGCGGGTGTGGGGGCGCTGGCGAACGCCGCCCGGGTGTCCCGATTCCTTCGTCCTCTCCCCGGAGCGTGCCGGGGCCGGCGGAGCTGCCTTCGGTCGACAAAAGCAGCTTCCGCCGGGCAGGTGGGGACTGGCGAGGGGTGTGCCCCCCCTTCCCCCTCGGGGTGCTCCCAGGGTCGAGTCGTGCACAGCCCGGTCTGGTGGTTTACCTTTTGGTCAGAATCTACAGTGCGAGGAAGGTGAGGAGAAGGCCCCGTCGCCGAGTGAAGAGGAGCGGGAGCACCAGGCAACGCCAGCCAAGGCTCCTGGAAGCACAGCCAGTGCGGGGGAAGCCGGCGACCGCGGTCCGGCTCTCCCATCGCCTCCTGATACCGGTGCCGGTGCCTATGCAGAGAGAACGGGCCGGGAGGACACTGAGGAAGATGCTCTGAAATACGTCAGGGAGATCTTTTTCAGCTAACGTTCCCCTCCTCGGAGGCTCCCTGGGAGCAAAGGGAACAGTGGAGGGGAAGGTGTCCCCTCCCACAGCCCTCAGGATGGTGAGAAGAGGGCCTGGAGTGGGCTGTGTATCTGCCGTGTTGGTGGCCTGTGAAGCTGGTGGGAGGCCCGTGAAGGCTATGGGGGAAAAGGGGGCACTCACTTCTCCCAGTGTGTGCTGGGTTCACTGGGGTTTGGCTCCAGATTAGATTATGTTCATTTCTGTTTGGCATCTCAGAGCATGGACAGATTAAAGAGGACGTTTGGGTTTCTGTGAGTGTCCCTTTGGTGAGTTGGTGTTGGGACTGGAAGGGGGTTGGGGGTTGCTGGACCTGTAAGGCCTTTGCTGGCTCTGCAGAACCAGATAGTCATGGTTCAGCCTTGGGGCTCTTTTGTCCTTGCAGTCCCTCTGTGACAGCTGCAGTGGGACCTGGCAGGCCTGTCCCCATCTGGCCTGATGCTGAATTTGCCTCCAGGCTTGGGCAGGCATCCCAAAGCTGAGGAAGACATGGGTGGGAGCAGATTGGCAGGGGCAAGGACCATCCTGAGGGGCCTGACCCCATTGCAATGTACATGGGGGGGTCTAGGAAGGGATGAGGGTGGCTCAGCGTCCTCTTCCCGATCCAAACGGGGAGATGAACACACCACGTGAGGCTGAAGCAGATGTGAGAGCTTTTACCTGAAATGAAGAATCAGTCAAACCATCATCACCAGGCACATGCACACCAAGACTGCAGCAGAAAAAAGAACGGACCCTCATGTCTCTGAAGGGGATGAGCGGGAAAGCAGGCGCTTCTTTGTGCAAGCTTACAGACATGGCATGGAGTGGTGCTGTGCACCGCCGTGGTGGAGAGACCCAGCCAATGCTCTGGTTTTGATGGCCCAGCTGGGGCACTGCACCCTGGCCTGTGGCAGTCCTGGCCCAGCTGCCGGAGCGCACCCTTGCGCGGGGCGTCCGTTGGTCTGAGCTAGCTTTGTGGTGAGCTGTCCTTGCAGAGATCCAGTTCTGGAGTCTCACAGGCTGCCGGACTGCTAGGCTCAGCTCCGTAATATCAGTGGGGACAAACCTGGGGCTCTGCACCAAAATCCTCTGCTTCTTCACAGAACGCGCCTCCTCGTTAGGGCTGTGTTCAGCAAGTTGTTAGGCTGCCCTTTCAGGTGCTCTGCTGCTGCTGGGGTTGAATGTGGGCCACTTCACCCTAATGAACTAAAGCAGAGTAGTCAGTCCAGATGTTATTCCAGCAGGTGAAGTACAGGTGCTGCTGCTGAAGAGAGTATTTCCAGTGCACTTCAGGAGCTGCCGCTGCTGTGATGGCAGTGTGAAGCCACAGCTCCTCAAGTCACAGTTGCCTCAAAGGCAGCCCTGGTGAGTCTAGGCAGTGGAGAAGAAGCAGAGTCTCTTTGGGCAATTCCAAGAAAGGAAGCCTGTTTGCATCTCTGCCTGCCTATGCTTAGGCTAGATATGTCCGGAGGGCTGTATCCACTGTGTGCTGGTTCTGATCTGTCCCCTTCACTGTCCTCTGCGTCAGGGCCAGAAATGTTGTCGCTTTGCTGTTGTGGCCCAGGCTGAAGGGTGTGTTACATGCTGCTGTTTCTGGGAAGCTTCCACGATGTGCTGTGGGTGTTGGTGTCTGCTGCCTGCTCGCTTCAGGAGCACAGCACACAGCCGTGTGCCAGAGCATGGCTGGACATGGGCCTTTGAGTTAAGGATCAGATTCCTGCCAGTGACTAAAGCTGTGGTGGGATTACTGTTTTAAAGCAGGTTATCGATGGCTCTTGCATCTTCTTCACTGTCAAACCTCAGTGGGCAGGGCCTTCTCAGTAAAAGGGCTTTGACAGTGGGAGGTGTGCTTGACCCAGCTGAGATACATAGCAGCAGTGAGAGTCTGGAGCAGTAGCAAAGCCTGAGTCGCCAGCAGTGCCAGGAAGCCTCCAGTGAAATCAGAGGGGTGAATCCATGGTGAGGTTTGGAAAAGAAACATACCCAGGCCTCCAGACAGGATTATCGTCTTGATGATAAATGTGATGAGAATCACCTTCCAGCTCCCTCTCTCATCTGTGCACTTTGCATGTACAACAAAAATGGGGTAGAAGATGCTGAGGACGAGGCAGGAATACACACAAACCCTGGCTATCACTATTTCTGGTAGGCTGATGCCCATCACCTGCAGATGCTTGTACTCCAGGCACTGCAGCTCCCCAGCTGTCTCATTCCACAGGCAGAAGTTGTAAAAGCCAATGCGTTTGTCAGGAAGGTTGACCAGGTTCCCAGCTTCCCACAGCAGCGCGTAGAACATCAAGGCCAAGGTCCCGGCAGCCTTGAGTAGGGTCAGGACATAGAGCAGGTGCCCAGTGTACCTCCATTGCAGCAGACCCATCCTGGTGCAAGCATGGTCTCTTGATATCATGGTAAAACCTGCTGCAAAACATGAAGCGGGGGGACCCCTTGGTTGTTGCATGTTCCGGTACCCTCCCCAAGATGTGCTCTGAGCCTGTGTCACTGAGTTCTTGGACTCCCCTTGCAACTAGAAGAGGAGCATCTCGAATCCTGCCTCTGACTGTGCTGTGCATCTGTTACGAGGTTGAGGGGATGCATTTTTGGTCGCAGCAAAGGTGGCTTGATGATGTGGGGATGCATTTTTGGTCGCAGCAAAGGTGGCTTGATGATGTGGGGATGCATTTTTGGTCGCAGCAAAGGTGGCTTGATGATGTCCCATGCGTGGACTAGCACTGGGAGGGGACAGTAGGGCTCCCTTAGCTTCACACATGCCCTTTGCACCATGATCTCACATTGGACAAGAGAGGCATTTGTCAGCAAACTGAAGTGATAGGAGCAAAACACTGCTGTCTGGTAAGCAGGGGATTAAGAGCTATTCTGGGAGAATGCTTTTCTTTCAGGTCTGGTCAGACAAGGACGTCCCTTGTGATCGTTGGACTACTGAGTAAAATGCAGGTATGACCGGGTCTGAAGTGCAGGGCTTCCCCTGTGTGTCCCCCTCCACCCCGTAGCTCTGGGACACCTGATGCCACTGATGCCACGCATTTCCAGCATCCACATGCCCCTGAGGCCCTTGCATGCCCATACATATCTGAGCACAGCAGCGCTGATCACCCGCAGCCCTGTTCCCCACTGAGGCTGGCCAACGGTGCTCCTCTGTCCTGGTTGCCTGAGGACCAATTCCCCACACAGACAGGCAGCTGTACACCACAAAGAGGCACCCTGGGCCCACCTGCAGCCACTCACCCTCCCCTCAGGCCCGGGGAGATGGGTGATATGGTGACAGACCTGTGATTGCCACGCTCCTCACTGTTCTCTCGGACTGCCTGGCAAACCCGGCTCCCTGCGCTTCTCCCAGAAATGTGGACTGACTTCAGTGCCCTCTTGCAGGCTTCTGCTTTGTGCTGAAAACCAGAGAAGTGGCATCAGGAAGGGGCATCACAGCACTGGCCACCCGGGTCTGCACAGAGGCACAGACACAGGGCAAGGAGCTGAGACCTTGGCTTCAAGCTCAGCTTTCAGCTTGAGGCTCTGCAAATAACCCCTTTCCTGCCTTTGCCAGGCATTATCTCCTGTGAATCAGTTACTACCTTCCCTCAAGAAGTTCAGAAAGTTGGTCCTGCTCTCTCCCCTTCATTGCCCATTACCTGGTGGTATATCATTCCGATGCCCTGTGTGTCCCAGGCCATTAACCCCACAGCCACTGGTGGATTTGGTACAGCCCCTGAGTTTTAGCGTGTCAAGAGAGACCTCACTCAATCTGTACCCAGTGCCTGGCTGCAGTGCTGGTGACTGGAGACCCTTCAGCAACCCCCTCCCTCTCCCTGTCTCCCCGGATTCTTGGGAATGGGGCACCTATGTTTAATGTGCACAGGGATGAAACTTCTCTGTCCCAAACTTCTCCTCCTCCACACAGTCATAGCCAGGAGGAGCATGTGCGCAGCGCGGAAGGGTGTCACAGTGTCCAGACACTGACCTATCTCCTTCCTCTGGTCAGTACCTCACTTCTTGTAGCTTCCCTTGGAGGTCTTCACAACATGCTTCTGGAAAGACTGGAAGGTCGCACCGAGGATGTCCATTGCTCTGAATCTACAATGAAGACACAGATGACCAGGAAAATATCCATGCTCGGGCCCAGAGTGCGCTACAGAATGAGACCTCACACATGTTATTTCACCAGGGTTTGTCTGTACACGTGCTCTCCTGCAGTCAGGCATTGCTGCTCTTCTCCCTGTCCTGCAAGGGCTCACGCCTGCCCACTGTTCTCCCTGCCATCCTGCCTCACAGCCCTCAGAGGGAGAACAAGCTGTGCTTGGAGGGGGGGCTCTTGATTAGCTGACCAGCTCCCCAGGGATTTCTGTCAGTGCTCAGAGCTGGGACTAGTACAGCCCAGCTGGCTCCCGGCCCTGCCCACCCACCAGCCCTTGCTATCCTGTTTCTGTAGACTGGTTTCCTAAGGAAGGCAGGCTTGCTTGAAACATGGGCATTTGTTCAATCATCTCATGTTACCTTTTACTTACCTCCACCTCCATAAAATAGAAAAGCAATTAAAAATTGTCCTAGTTGCACATGCTTACTAGAGAGGGGACAGAGAATTAAATTCCTAGCAGGTTCATGGAAATATATGGCAGGGGTGGAGGACGGCCACCTCAGAGACCCTGTGCTGCTATGTGATCTCTGCCTGTGTGAGAGCCTGGGGAAATCCCGTGGTATTTCTGTCCTCTCCTCTGTTTGAGGCTGGTGTCTGTAAGGACTGATTTTCTCTTCCCAGCAATGTCCCTCCGTCCACTCTGCCAAATTGCAAGCAGATTTGCCCTTCAGCCTCCTGCTGCCTCCCCAGCAGAGCCCACCAGGTAAATCCCTGTCCCCGGGTGTGACTGTGACAGGGACCGAAACGCGCCTGGTGTGGGTGCCCTGTGCCAGCTGGGGCAGAGAGCGCACGGCTGGCCTGGAGGTGACGTACGGTTTGGCAATGGAAGCTGAGACCTGGCGCCCTGCCACCAGCACAGCCACAGGCACGGCATTCGTGAACCCTGCAGCTCGGCCAAGAGGCTGGTTTGGAGGCAGCCTGGCTGAGAAGCAGGAGATAAACAGGAAGGAGCTGTCTAGCTGGGGCTTTCTCAGACATCTGCAGCCTCCCCTCACCTCTGAGGAGGCGCCTGTGCCTTTGGATGAGTCTGTGGCTCTGCCTCAAAGGTGCAAGAAAGAGGAACCCAAGCGCCTCACAGCGAGCCCCTCAGGGCAGGCATCACGGGAAGCACTGGACTTCACCATGGGAGAGCTCTGTGCTTCAGCCTCCTGGGCAGAGAGGGGCTCCATGTGCGTGGCTCAGGAGCTCCCTGGGGTGTCTGTGTGTGAGATGGGGCTCGTAGAGACCCTCTGTGCTGCTGGGGCTGCAGGGCCCTTCCCTCTGCTGGCTTGTAGGCAGGTGAGCACCTTCCCAGGCTGGGGCTGTGCCTTCCCCGCAGCGAGCTGCTGGCTGAGTGCCTGGGCCCCTCTGTGCAGACACAAACATCTTTGTGGAGCTGCCGGACCCCACTGCAGTGAACACGCTGAATGTAAAGGGGTGAGGGAATGGGCATTTTCTCTTGCACTGAAGAGCCCCCCAGAATACTTGGCTTTCTTGCATCCCCCCTCCCTGGCTGCTGGGGGGAGTAATGCTGTGCAAGAGCAGTGGGAAAGGAAGGCAGCTTTGGACTTGGCACCTTTCCTTCAGGCCACCTGCTCCCCCCACCCCCCAAGGATCCCTCTTTCCCCCTCAGGCAGGATCAGCTGTGGGGAAACCACAGGTGAAGAAAGGCTGCTGACAGGCTGAGGATTGCTGGCAAACAGAAACCAGCCAGTGGCACATGGACCACAGGGCAGAAAAACCGCCCCAAAAGGTGCTACAGCTGGAAAGGGACCTGCTCCCTCCCAGACATTTGCACCCTGCAGCACCACCTCTCTTGTCAGCTCCCCCTGATGCCAGTGGCATTAAAGAGGTGAGGGACCCGGTGGAGGATACTTACGGATTGCCCATCTGCGTGGGTGAGGAGCTGAAACACGCTGAAGAGGGCTGAGGTGCCGCCCTGGTGAGCTGAGCTGGTCTGTGGCTGCTGACAGGTCCCGTGCTAGCTGGGTTCTGACACCACTGCTCCTGTTACGTGACTGGCAGCTGCCTCCTGCTTTCTGTTTCGATTTTGAGGGTCACGGGAGCCTGATGCGGTGATCTGATACTGCGTCATCTGAATATGACTAAGAAAACAAGCTGAGCTCAGCCCCCACCGTCCAAGCGGGGGGCAGGCTTTCTCCTGGCTGTGCTAATCAACATAACTGACTGGGCTAAGCTCACCCAGGAGAATTGGACTACTGGAGTGGCTTGGGTGTCCGTGGGGGCTGAGATGAGTTTGTTTTGTTTGGACATTTCTGTAGAGGTAACTGACTGTCCCAGTGCTGACTCCAGTACCGCAGCACTGTTGGAGTTCACTGAGCACTTGGCCCATCCTGCACATTGAGCGCTGCTCCCCTCCCTCTTCTTCCCACGCTCGGCTTTGCCCGAGCTCCCCCTCACCCACTGACACAGTGCCTACGCAGGCACAGCTCTGGAGAAGTGGCAAGCTGCCTGCTGCAACAGGAAACCTGTGGAACCTCGAGTGATGTGAGGGGCAAAACTCTCCTTCCTTTAGTCCTCCTGGACAGATCCAGAACCATTTATTTGTCCTGTCCTATAAGCAGCCTTGGTGGTGGGTCTGTTAGAGGGGTGTGTTGAGGGGTGATACATGTGGGACACCTAGCCATGAAGGTGTTTACAGAGTCCCACATAGTAGTTTCACATTTAGGCATGGTCTGGAAACCTCCAGCTGGTACATACGTCGTGAGCCTGTAATATTTACACTCACACCCAAGAGCACAAGGGTGAAAGGAAATATAGGAGGAAGCCCTAAGAGAAGCTCAGTGGATAGAGCCACCAGACAGGTGACAGTGGGGAGGTGCCTTCCTATCTGGCTTGTGTGTGTGGAGTAATTTTAGCGTTGAGAAGGACAAGGATATGGGTCGAAGTGGTCCAGATCATAGATGGCTTGGGCAGGGGTTATGGTGAGAGAAATCAGGGGTGGGGGTGGAAGGCTTGCAGCAAATAAAGCCTAGTGTGCCACAGGTGCTGAGCTGAATATGGTGAATGGTGGGAACACAGAAGGAAGCCTTGGGGCTGCATATAGCTGAGATCTAACATTGCGGCTGCTGGCTGGGCAACTGAGGTATGAACCGAGACCACTGAGGCGAGACCTCTGTTCCAGTGAGGAAAAGTGCACTGACAGGAGGCATGTTTGTGCTCTCAAGAGGGTTGGTCACGCAGTTTTGCCTCATGCCAATCACTTTTCTGTTGTTCAGGAAGGAAATGGGTGTGTGATTTGGATCTGGTGATCGGCCAACTCCTTAGCTGACCTCAGCACCACAGGGGAGGTTGCCGTTTGGCTGCCACAATCGTGAGGCACAAGCAGCTCTTTCACAAATATCCTCACTTCTCATTGGGGTCCTGTTTGCTGGAGCAATCAGGATGACTGCTGCAGTGGGTCTGCTCCACCATGCCACAGCACTTCGCCCTCGAGCCACTGTCCTCCTAGATGGGTGTCTGATCCCCTTCCTATCTCCTACGCCTCAGCTTTCATGAGTGTGATTAGATGGCCACACATCCTGGCTTTAGGCTTTGCACACCCCTCCATCTCCCTGGCCTTCTATGCACAGTTCAGAGAAATAAATACACCATTTGGGAATGTTACTTTTGGAGTGTGGCATCTTCCTGGCCAGAGCTGGTTGCCTGATTGTGCACCTATGGCAAAAGTGCTCCTCAGTGTTTCCTGAGGAGCCTTGTGTCTCCTCCCCTGGAGGGTCTCGGTCTCTGCTGCTTGTAATGCCTCCTGGGATGCCAAGGCTGCCAGCAGGGAGAGGCACAGTCAACCTCTGGCTCAAGACTTGCCCCTGGTACCACTGATGTTCTTATTCTAGAGTCCTCCTTCCACATCTTTGGCAGCCTCTCTGGTGGGTAGTTCCCTTGCCATCTCCTTCCAGGCATTTGGGCAGGGACGGTTGTGCCTGAAGGCTGGGCGGGATGCATTCTGCCCTGCTCTTCTCCTTCCTAGGGACATTTCACAGGTGTCCCCTGGCTGCCCCTTTGGCTTCAGATGCTCAAAGTCTATCTGATGATGGAGCAGTTGGGGAGGCTAGGTGTGATGGGTGTGGGGTGGTGTAATGTGAGAGCCGACTTGTAACTCCCCAAAACAGGGGCTGAGAAAAACAGCCTGAGAAAGAGTTAAGGGATGGAGGGGGAGCAGAGGCCCTCCAAGCTGAGGAATGTCTCAAACACTCGCAAGTTCTGAAACTATAGTCACGGGGTGGGTAATGTGGAGGCTGAAGCTGGTAAGGCGGCCTGATTAGCACAAGATGCAGCTGGAGGAGGGAGCCTTGTGGAGGCAGGACAGTTCTGCCCTGGTGCCTCTTGTAAAGGTGCAAGGGCCATCTGTCCAGTGAATGACCTTTGCTTTATTATCCATGAAAGGTATATTAAAGTTGACACCCCTGAATATGCTAATGAAGATTAACAAGATCATGCTAATTATATCATCCCATGAAGTACCTTCCTACTCCCCCATACATGTGATAGGTAGGTATGTGGGTTGCCCTGGGGGACGGACCCAAGGAAAGTGTGTATAAATTGAGGGGGGGTGAGGAGTGAGATGTAGAAAGAGAAAAGAAGACCAGAAGAAGAAGAAGATGGATGCATTCCCTGATGAACTCAGATGGGAACAATGCAGGACCCTGGACTGGTGATCTCTATTTCTCTATTGTCTCTCTCCCTCTTTTCTTTTTCTCCTTTTCCCTTATTACCAATAAGTAACACAAGGCATACTATATATACTTAGCCAATTATCACATATCCAATTAGTACATTGTGGGAAATTAATAAATGTCTGTATGTGGACTTTGAAACCTGTCTCACTGTTGTCCACTCCATTGGGGATTTACGAATCTAACTCACTTGTCTCCCTCATCTGAGCAGGACGTGACAGGTAAGCAGGGGGATGATCATCAACGTGTCCTATGCAGAAAGAATGGGAGGGAGAGGAGGAAGAGATCAGGGCTTCTAAACATGTGTGCCTGGAGGTAGGAGAGATCGGATGGAGCGTCTGGGCTGCTGGGGCCTGGTGACTGTGGCTGGGAAAGGAGAGCACTTCCCAGGAGCCAGCTTCCACTGAATTAATGTACAATCGTTTCTTCCTGGAATTGTTTCTTGAAATAGAAATGTAATTTCTCATGTGTGTTAAGGAGATGTTCTCACGGCTTTACAGTGGAATGAACGGCTCTGCAGCTCTTGATTTCTTGTGGTGCAGTTGAAGCACACACAGCAACACTGTTAGCAGTTCTATTAATACTAGCAGTCACAAGTAAAGCATGAGATGAGCTTGGACTTTCAAAAGTGTTTTGCTTATTTTAGCCTGCTGTTTTAAATGATATTATACTTGCTTCCCAGAAGCTGGTCACGACCCGGGTACTCCTTCCTGGGGGAATCTCCACAGCAGAACTCTGTTCCCTCTAGTTACTCAAAAGCCCTCTCAGCTATAGCTAGTACTGGCCCATTGTACCAGAATTCAGGGATTCCTGTGGGAGTCCTTAGACTGGAGAGAAGAGAGGCTGGAGTTCATATTCTTCTACACTGTTTAGAAATCACTTCTATTCAGAAGAAATTGTAAAATGACTATTCTTTTATCATCTGTAATCTGCTGACGACTAAAAAGAAATAAATCTCAGTGAAACGAGACCAACTCTAGGCTTTTCTTCCTGTAGCAGTCACGAGGAGGTTGCTGGCAACCCAAGAGCTGGTGTCCAAGGCAGTGCAAAGCTCAATGGCTTAGTACTGTCTGCATACGTGCTGCATTTAGGATTCCACGAGGCTGAACCCTAATCCCACAGGGTATTAGATGTGAGGCTCCCAGAACTCATTCCCCAGGACCAGCGCCCACCTGGCTGCAGCCTTTAGCATGCAAGGTGCCCTTCTCTACCATACCTGGATCCAGTTCTAGCCCTGACAGAAGGATGACCCACTCGCCTCTGGGAGGCTTTGTAATAATGACTTGTGCCTATGTGTCTAATTTTTTGGTTTTTTATTACTGTATTTGTCTTGCTGTAATGCAATATGATTTTTCCTCTGGTTTCTTAGACAGTGCACAACAGAGGGGATGTATGGAGTATTTCCTTCCAGCGATACATTTTAAGTGTTTGGCAAATTCTCTCTTCTTGCAGATACAAATAATTTAGGTTTTATTTATTATTGCCAATGCTAGCTCAGCCCCTTTCAAGTCCTCAAAATCTGATGGCCCCGATTTTGCAGCAATAGGTTCCAATGTATGGATTAAAATGGAGCATGCTCTAGAGACAGAGATGAAGTAAAGAGAAGCAGCCCACTGACTTGCTTACCAGGCAATCCTAAATCTTAGGAAACTTAAAGGAGACAAAACTCAGTACCTGTCTTAAGCAGTATATTTTTCTTCTCTTCTCCCAAATGTTTGTACAATGCTATACACATTAAGAAAATGCAAACTATGCCAGTATATGACTGTAATGAATAAAATATTACTCAGGTAGTGTAAGAATACATAAACGGCAATACTGATTTAGGCCAAGGGGCCCCCTATCAACAGCACCCCGCCTCCAAGGTGACCGTGTGTGGACGGCCAGGGGAAAGCAGGAGCAGAACAAACACATGGAATATTTTTCCCAAGCACTCTCCTCGATTCTCACTCTTTTCATCAGAGAAGATTTCCCAAGCCGTATGTGTTTATTCAAAAACTCCCAGTGGTCTAGCTATAGGGTACATGTCCACCTAAATCTATGTACATTTTTCGCATCCATATGACATCTTTTAGCAAAGAGTTCCACAGACTATTTGTGTACAGATTTTATGTCAAATGTTTTTGAGTGTAACATGTATTTTGTTTTTTTGGTGAAAGGAGAGAATGATTTTTGTGGCTTATGACTCCAGTTTCTCTACTATGATCAAGGAATGGTGGCTTCAGCTGCTCAGGGAGTAATCCCTCTCCTCGAGAATCTCAGGGAAACTTCCAAATATACTGAAGAAGGAAAAAAACCCACAATGAAACATTCAAGTTTTGTCTTGGCCATTTCAGATTCAGTCACTGGCTGAGACTTGATACAGTCACTGTTACGGTAAGTAGAGTTGCAGTAAGCAGACATCACTGGACATCAAGTCAATTATTCAGATGACTCGTTGTGGGGATTAACACCTTCATATGGAGCAGATTCCAACTCACATGCCCACCTCCCCTTCTTTATCAATTGCCTAATAAAGGCTATTTGGGGATAAAGACCATCTAGGTAGCCCCCACTGAAATTGTTCCAGTGTGCATAAAACTGTAAATTGGGAAGGGGAGGTGCCAAGGGCAACATGATTATTTTGTTTTGGTATGCATGCAGCTCAGCTGAAGAACATGTTCTCACTCCTAGTGTCTGCTCCAAGGAAAACAACTGTTTGTCATTCAAATGACACTGGCCTAGAGTCATAACAGACACTTCCAGAGCACAAATCCTATGTCGAGCCCCACTGGTCAAGCAACATGGGTAAGAGTGGGAGAGGAGAGTCGGGGCCACCCGCGTGACCTTGGCAGGCGGTATGTGCTCACGAGTGGCTCAGCTGCTGGTGCTCGCTGCAGGGTGGCCAGCTGCCTCGGAACGAGGTGTCCTGGGGCACGAGCAGTGCCAGCACCCAGGGAAACTGGAAGTGAAGCAGCACGGCAGCCTCTGCAGCGGTGGTGCCACTGCATTCAGGCAGCAGCTGAAGAGGGGCCCCAGTGCAGGGGAGGTGAAAGTACCAGAGTGACAGCAACCTTTGGGCTAGAAATTGTTTCAGGTACATATCTAGCACCTGCCTTCACTACATGCCCTGCTGATAAGACACCTCTGAAAAAGCAGGAGGAGGGAAAAAGTGTTATAAGGTGTTTTACAGGCTGCGGGATAGTACTCCAGTCCAGGTCCGAAAAACACAGTAACAAAACAAGGAGCCAGGACTTTTTTTTTTTTTTTTTTTCTGTTCTTTCCCTTTCTCTAAGCAAGTCAACTCCAGAAAAGCCTAGAAGAACATGATCTGTTACATTTTAACCTTTGCAGGTGGTACACAGTGACTTGGAACTAACAGCTGCAGCTGGCGAAGGGAATGCTTTGAAGTCACCCAAGATTGCAAAAGTATTAAAAAATGCATTCTTTATTAATCTCCTCTTTGGCAGCCAAGCCCTCATCGGTCGTAACACTTAAATGTACTCAACTGTACAATTACCTAAAACTGTGTTTAAACTGTATTTAACTGGACTGCCTGTCCCTCAGAAGCCAATTACAGCTGGAATGATTTGTGCCCAGACTTCCAGGCTGGCAGAGGAGGACTCACTTTTAACTTAATCTCTCCCTTCCTTGTGCACGCGGCTCACGTATCTTCTTTCTCAAGACACAGATCTCCGGCACGTCGGCAGGTGGGACAGCCCCAGCGCTGACGGCAGGTGACGACCACATCTCCTCAAGCGGCCAAACCACCGCCGCAGCCCCGGCCCCCGGCCTCCCTCTCAGCATGACCCGAGCCGGCAGACGCATCTTCCCGGCCGGCCGCGGCCCCAGCTGCCTGCAGCTGCCTTTAATCCATGATTAACGGGTGAGATGAACCAGGTCTGACAGTGTACGGGGAGGCATGTCCCTCGGCCATGAATAATATTTACAACGTTCTGAAGCTCCTTTTATTCTAAGCGAATAGGTTCTTTGTGCAGTTGATACTGAATGTCATTAGTAATATTCAACCTTCCTGGCCAAAATAAAGGAGGGAAGGCAAAACACAGGAAAACCTTCCAGTTATATTTACACAGTTTTAAGAAATACATTAAGAACATGGGATACGCTCCTGTGAATCAATGAATCCAGTCCTCTCCTATCACAGGCACATTCTTCCTACAAACCCTTTCACAAACCAAATATTAATACGTTAGTTTTCTAGCTACCACACTACTTTGTTTTAATTTCTTCTGGCTAAGTTCTCCAAGACAAAACCAAAGCAGTCATAAGGTAGCATAGCTCTGGGTGCATGTCTGAGAAAAACAAGACAGGAATTTAGATCCAAGCACAAGGTCATTACTAAAACACACTACTACAGCACGACATCGTTAGATTTTCAGCACCTGAAGTGTGAAAATGACATGAATAAGGATCATCCTGAGAATAAATTCCAGTATCCTTAATGTAGGCAGAGAATAAGTAATATGTTCTCACATTCTACTGTTTAGCTGATTTATCATAGCTCCCTATGAATCTATAAAACTCACAGATTTATATTAAACCACAGATAGTATGTATGATTGCTTTAATATTTCTCATCCAGTCCTCACTGAGGAATTCTAGATCTCTGCTCATGAAAACATCGACTGAAGTACTGTTCTGTATAATTTGCTGACATGACATCTGGAAATGATTTTAAAGCTTTTATATCAATGAGAAGAATCCTTTTTTTTTTTTTTCTTGTTGCAATTCTTGGAATATTTCATGAAGCTTGTTTAACCGTGTAGGAGATGTCAGAGCTGAAGAGAAACGTACTATTGGTTTTGCAAAATGTTGCCAATAATGTGAGCTGTAAGAATCTAAGAAAAGTGACACAATGCTGTAATTAACACTGCTCAGGAGGTGTTTATTTGAATAAATAAAAATTGTAATAATGGCTAAAATCAATTAATACTGACTTATGGCACTGTGGGATGAGGACAGGTAGCTTTCTATTCAGGACATTTCACTTTGGTACTTTCTTCATAGATTAACTTGTTGATTTTCTATGCTTGATAGTGGGCTGTTTCATGGCTTTGTGGGTATCTGTGAAGCCACAAAGTTTGACACTAAGCATAAAAAATTCTATTCCTTTTCTGTACTCTGTCCACAGCAATGTTTTCTATTAAAACTCTACCAAAAACTCTACCTTAAACTCTTGGATTGAATAAACTCTACATCCCTGTAAGAATCCTATTCTGTTTTAATGTGAAACATTAAAATTGTAAGTTTATGAAAACCAGGCTTTTAAGGCCTGAAAGAACCACAGATCATTTCAATACTCGTTTTGCCTATTATGAAACACAGGCTAGCAATTTCATTCAGTTTTCTGTGGGCCCTGGTGTAGACTGTGTGTTTGACTGAAGCAGGACAGAGAACCCACTACATCTCCTGGAGTTTGCACTAATGGGTGCTCTGATTCCCTGCCAAAACATGCACCTCTGATTTCTAATGCAAATTTGACTGTTATCAACTGCAGTCACAGCTTCTCATGCTTTTTTTTTGATGAACTGAAGCTATCTCTGCTACTTTCAGCTACTCTAGTGAAGAACATTGTCATATTTTAGGTGACAATTTTCATCCCATAAAGTCCCATTTCATTATGAAGTGGCTGAACACTCTTAAGTGTCACAATAAGAGGTTGTCTCCAGTTCTCACATACTTTGAGGGGTCCTCGTTTGCATTCTTCTTCTGAAAAAAATTCTTTAAAGTAATGATGACACCAGAAGTAGTCAAAGTAATTCAGTAGTAGTCTAAACGAAGTTCTACAAATCAAGATAGCTTTTCCCTCCTATTTTCACATAGGCAAAAACTGTGTTTGTCCTTCTGGCGCACTATGAAGAGAACTCATGTTGAGCTGCTTGTTCACTTTGACACCTAAATCTTTCCCGGATTTCCTTGTGCTTGCAATGACACAAGTCCACCAGTTCTGTTTCCTCAGCCTCCACATTTGCTTCTTTCATTTTGTCTGTACTGAAACCAAAAAGTTCTGGTTGATGACTATTTTCCATTGGATTTGGGTTGCCTTGTTTAACTTCAATGGAAGTTTTCCCCTCTGTTCTCTCTGAACCAAATAAGCACATTATTACAAATGTGCGTGCCCTACTGCCAAATATTTTTTCACCTCAGGTTCAGTTTTTCTTCGGTGAGACCATTCCCAATCAGTAAAGCTGAGTGTAATAATGTGAAGACAGTTTAAACTAAAGAAAAATGAGCTCTTCCAAATGGTGAGACTGAGTGAAATCCCAGTCAAAGGACTCTGTACTTATCTTTTTGGGACATACTCTTTAATGAGGTTTGAGATTACAGAAAAAAATGGCTTACTGGGATTTTAAGAATCAAAGTAACATATAATGTTTACCTTTTTTCACTGGGTCAAGTACCTGAAATATCTTATGTTGAGTTTCAGTGCCTTGAGTCTGTGAAACAGAATAGAAACACGAACAAGTTATTAATATTATTAAGTTCCAGAAGATTGAATGACAAAAAGGTATTATCATCTTTATGATAAGGCACTTCATGGCCTGTTCAATGAGTGTACACTAGGTTAGGACAGGGAAGCTTGGTAAGGGTTCAATAACTAGTGGGAAAACAGTTAACATGTAAATATCAGGCTTTTCCTTTTTCTTTCTTTTTTGCCCCCCCCCCTTTTTTTTTTTTTTTTTTTTTTTTTTTTAAGCAGAAGGAAAGCTAGGCATTTAGTATTTGGCCTGATTTTCAAAAGCTCAGAAAACTCAGCAACTTGTGTTCATTTGGCAAATTGTTGGGTGCTCAGCATTATAAAAAAACTATTTAAGTTAAATTCCTTTCCATGAAAGTAGGAACATAACATGTTTTCATCTAGGATTTTTAAATGTTTGTCAGCTACAATGAGGCACACATTTTCTAAATAGCATGAACAGCAATAATGAAGAAGTAACATTCGAAAAAAAGCTTAGATGTTATACCAACTATTCTGACAACAACCCTTTAGTAAACTTAATCTCGTGGTGGTTGCTAGGCCAGCTAATGCTGAGTACCAAATCACACACTCTGAATGGCAGGAAGGGGCATGATGCAACTTTACAAATATTGCCAGCACAAGTATTTCAGAGCTGGGGCTTGGTAATGATCTCAAAGTTAATTAAAAAATTTACTGCCTGTTTCCCTAGAATGACCTGTGACCTTTCCCTTTCACTTCTCTTCACAGCACTCTACTGGACTGGAAAACACAACAGAAAATGTTTTAATGGACTTGGTAAAAATCTTACTCAATGACATGAAGTGAAACAGGTCCAGTTGAGGGAGTGAGGTGTTAGTAGTTTTGGAGAATGAAGAACAGCTGGTAAAATCTCTAGCTCCAAGGCACGTTCCTTAACAGAAAGATCTAAATGTATCAAACTATATTCATGAGACAGAATTTTACCATTTTTTCCTGCCCCAGACTTGTTGGTGTTGATACTTCATTCATACATGAAACAGACAGTAAAGAGCAATGGGCATTCTAGGTCAGCAGCTTTTGGTGACAAAATTGTTTGCCAACAGTGGTTGAATATATCAGTCTCTGGTCAGAAAGAGAGCACAATATGTTTCTACTGGGATGAAGAATACTCACATTTTTGCTTTCATGACTTCTGTTCTTAGCAATGCCGTGAAACTGTTTTCCTGATGTTTTGTTTTTTTTCTGCACAGAAAATAGTATATAACCATTCTGATTCATGAGGGAATATTATAGTTACAAAATAAAAAAAGCCAAAACAGTTGCAAATAAACATGATAATCACAATGCCAGAAGGAACACATGTAAGCAAGCTGCTCAAGATTGAATTCCTTATGCTGTTCTGTTCAGCAAACATTTATGAACCTGAACACAAACATATCATATTGACAAGGGACCTCACTTCCTACTCAATAAGGCTTGTTTATTTTTAGTCTGGGAACCTGGACAGCCATGCTTTCTCAGTAGTAATAATTCCTTATGCTCTGTTTTTCCACTGTTGGGGTTTCTGAAAAGAAACACTGACATAAAATGCAAAAAGCTTGGGAAGCACTGGTCCACCTACTGAACCAAGGAAAATATTAACAAAGCAGTCAGGATTATAATGTTTATGTACATAAAAATAATATTACCCATCACAATATTAATGTGAATTAATTATTCTTTCCAATGACAGTTTGCTTTCTCTAGGCAATATGAACAGTGATCCTATTTTACATCTGAGGGCCATATAGTTTTCTAGGCTGAACATCAGCAAAGTGCAGTTAAGGGCTACATACAGTTCCAGCACGAATTTCTATCAAAAACTCTACTGAACCTGTGATGTTCCTTGCTAGTCACCTTTTTCAAATGCCTTTAAGAACTTCCATCAAGGACAACAACAGAAATTTTGGTAAGTCTTTTGATCTAATAACCTTAAATAGTCCCTGAAGTCGATCCACATGGGAAAAGAACAAAAGAAAGAAACTTCTTCTTGTAGGAATTGCAAGGTACTGTTCTTTCAAACTCATTGGATAAACTGTTGTTACTTTCTTTACATAGGAACAACATCACTCTGACCTGTTTTGCTCCTAGTATACATCCAGAAAAAGCACCTGAATTCACTGCATGAAAGATGCATGAATGCAACTCATACAATTTCACTGCATGAAAGATGTTTTTGCCTATGTTTCAGCACAGAAATTACAGAACAGGACCTAGTGAAGATCCACTTAACTAATAGTTTTGCAATGTATATCAGTGTTTATAGGTATAGGCAGGCATAGCCTTGCAGAATCAGGCTTTTAGGTGGCTAAAGTTGTGGTCAGTCCTCAACATGCTCATCCTCTCCTACAAGAGGCATGTGATGGGATGGGCTCTGTACCTAGAAGGATCTCTGCTGCAGAAGGCTCCTCTTCATTGTTTATTAAATTACTAATTTCTAAAGTGTAGTCACTTTTATAATAGAGAGGTTTGAGTAACCACTGAGATCTCCTAACGGCTTCCTGCTTCTGAAGGAAAAAACCTCTTTTCCTTGGTCCTGCCTCTCCCACTCCAAACTCTGCCACTTTGGACCCTGTTCCTAGCTACTGTTTTTCTCCATCTCTTAAACTGGCTCTGATGCGCCAAAAAAAAAAAAAAAAAAAAAAAAAAAATCTTGTGTGAGGTGATTTAACTCATTAACCCAGCAGAAATCCATCTCATTTTTTTTGCTGGGTTTGTTTCCTATCAGATTAGTGTGTTAAACCAGGTCATGGCAGGGACTGAACATAAGAGGGATATAAGTGGAAGGCGTACACAGCAAAGAATGTGGCAGGAGGAGAGGATGGAGGACAGCAAGTGGTTGTTACATGACCCATCACATCATGTGAAAAGTCTGTTGGGACAAGGAATATACTAATCCATTATTTAGCACAGATCCTGAAGTAATTAAGCTTTAACAAATGCTTTTGTGTGGATTCTGTATGGCTCTCCTCAAGTGTTTCTAGGAAGGCATCCCTGCCCTTCTTTGTTCTTGGATGTTTCTTTTTTGTTTATCACGAAGCAAGTTTACCAGTTTTACAGACTAAACTAAATGGACAAGAAACAGTACTCTAACTTTTTGCAGTGGTCTTCTGTGTTTGTCTGGACTTCAGTTACCGAAAGCAGTGTTACACCCTTTCAATTATTTTTCCGAGTTTGAAAGTCCCCTGAAATCACAATTATCCAGCAGGGTTTCACATCTCCCATGTCATCTGGATAAATCTCATTATACTGCTTTTAATCCCAATCCTTGGGATGAATACCATGCAGAGATGTTTTGCAATAAGCAGTTATGAGAGTTATGTGGCAGCCTGCTCACTTTACAGCTTAGTCACAGACATCACGTGAACCCGCCTGCCTTGCTTGTATGTACCACTTAAAGACCACAAGGAAATGGATATCAGAAAAAAATAGAATCAATCTCACTGACTAGCATGGCGAGTGTTTAGACACAAACAAGGCTATTTTTAGCAAATGAAGTGGAAAGACTCAGAGTTTTAGGCAAATTTTTCTCAAGTTGCTAGTCCTCAGAGCTGCCAGCCCCATGTCACAGCCCCATGCACAGGCATACTGCCAGCCTGATGAGAGGAAGTGGGGCAAGAAAGCAAGAAGGTCTGAGAAGTACTAAAAAGCCCAGGATACTTGGTGTTAACCACAAAACATTGCTAACTTTACAGTCCATTTACCATTTTCATTCTAAAGTTTTCATGATTTTTTTTTTTTTTTTTTTTTTTAAATCCAGCACTGGGAAATGTGCCTATGTGGATTTACCATTCACGTATGAATAAACTCAAACCCAAACTTAACATTCTAAAACCAAACATGACAGAGGGTACATTAAGGAAAGAATATCTCAGTACTCATCCCTCCCCTGCATATTTTCACCAACCCTCTGCTACCAGTCCTGGTACCGTGCAAAAGAGACTTTTCATCCAACCCACTATGGTTGACCTTCTGTAACTGATATAGTCCTGGAAATACCATGGCATCAGTGGTGGAAATTCCTGCTTGGTTCTTTAGCACTGAAGAGAATAGGGGAAGACATTTCAAGCTGTGGGTAAACATTAAAAGCCAACACCACTCTCACAGCCCTTCCATCAGAAATTACCACCCCCCAGGTGAGCTGGGTGAGTGGAAAGCCTGTCTGGACTTCACCTTCCTGAAATACAAAACCCAGTAGCTTTGCTTAAACTCTGGATGACAGTGGGACTAAGTGGAACTGTAGGGCTTTGCACAAACATGTATTCTCCATATAACTCCTCCAGGGACAAATGCCTCCAGGGAGGGGCAGAGCACATAAAGGGATCTGTGGCAGCTTCCCTCACCACAGGTACACTCACCAGAGCTTATCTGACTGCATCGTGTTTCAAACTATCATCTCTGAAACGAGATCTAAAACTCCAAATCATGCAATTTGTCAACAAGCCCAGACATCTGAAATGCCTATCTGCATGTTTTGCAAATTGTTACAGGGGTCACTTCAGGTTTATACACTCTTAGTACACAGTCCTGGTACTAGTTTCCCCTTTTACTGTTTATTTACTGTATTTATGTCACAAACAGGAAGCAACAATTTACAGGAACTATTATTGTTGGCTAAAATTCATCCACAACCTTTCAAAAAGTGATACACTAACAAAAGTTTGTTTTGCTTATCTACAGGAAGCATCTTGAATAATATTATGGTAATCACAGGCACTAAAGAAATAAACACCATGTAAACAAGGACAAAAACCATGTTTCAACCTATTCTTTTCGGCAAAAAGTAAATACAGGTTTCAGGAAAATAAAATGTCTCATTGCCCTGAAGTGAAAGCACGTTCTTAAATCTGGGGCTACATTTGCCTAGGAGTTTAGAAGTAGGCAATGGTCCCACGCTGACAGCACTTAGCACCAGTATGATGACCTGCCTGCATGTGTGAGAAGAGAACACAGACCCTGAACACTCTGAACTGGGTATCTGCAAAGTATGGCTGACACTAGTGCACATGGGCACGGTACTCCTTCTGCTTAAAGCTGCTGCCCTCCTTCTCCTCACCCTGACCCTGTGTCTGTACTGCAGAACCTGACAGGTAGCAAGCCACCTTCTTTTGGAAGAAAAACACCACCTTCTGGACAATCGGGGTTAAGCTATAGAGAAAATGAATACTATTGCTCTGCACTGTTATTTGGACTGTATTTCTATTGACTATTGATTTGTTAATTACTATTCTGGTCCTAAGGTTCTTCAAAATAGAGCCTGTTCTGGTGATTCTTTCCCAGTGGCATTCAGGACAGATATGTAAACATATCAGAAAAAGTCATGGCGTACCTTGGTGCCTCGTTTTAGCTGGTATGCAGCAAGATCACAGGAGACTGGGCTGTCAGAAGTTTCGCTGCTGTGAAAGATGAGCATTGTTTTGTTTAATTTCCGAATTTGGTGATTGCAAACAGTATTTTGCAGCATTCATTCCAACCATTAGCAGGGGTCTTCTGTAGTAACCCTAGTTGTAGAGATGTAAATGTGTTCTCCACATGCCTGTCTTCCAGATCCACATTTTATTTTACAGACCTACAGCTAACCTGCAAAAAGTGGGCATCATCATCTTAGAGAAAGCTTGGTTATTGAAAGAGATGTGATCTATCCACATGGCACCTCCTGCTTCTACCTAGGTTTCTTTTAGTTCTGCTTCACATACTTTCTCCCTCCCCTCCTAAATCCTCTCACAGAACATCATCCTCTTTGTTCCCAGCAAGCCTTCTCCTAGTTCTCTGATGATGCATCAATATCGTGTGTCTCTTCTTATGTCCCTGCAGTTCAGTACCACTTGTGAAGCTCAGCTCCTGACTTCTATACTCTGGGCACAGTTTGATAAGATAGATACAACCCATTAATGTTTCCTCCCCCCAAAAAAACGTACAAAAGTTTTATTCCCTAATAAATGACCACAGGGCCACAGCTGCTCATAACACATAAATGCCCACCTCTCACAAACTACCTGCACAACTGATCTTGCAGTCACTCACAGCCAGTACTGGCACAGGAGGAGCTGATCATGTTTAATAGGTGTATTTTTTGGTCATTGTAGATTCTTGCACTGCTACCAGTTACCCTGAACTTAACCCCTTAGGCTAAATGGAATCAGCCTAGTGTCTTCCATGGTTAATGAAATTAGGTTTACACAAAAGCAAACAATATACCTTGTATCGTGGCTAGATTGCTCTGCAGAATATAAGGCTGAAAAAAAGCATATCAATTTAAGTGATGCAGTAGACCAAGCTCTGTACCAATGCAGTTTAATTTCTCTTCAGGAAGACCATCTGGGGTAGGTACAGAGCTCTACTTCTAATAAACTGGCTATTAAGATTTGGATATAAGATTTGTATGCAATCTTTTAAGGAGTGTTAATTTAAGGAGTGTGACAAAAGTCTCATTTTAGTAACATTTCTAACATTTACTCTGGCAATCTTTATGAGGTGCAGAAAACATGTAATAAATTATGGCATATCTGAATAATTCTAAATTACCTGGAATCCCAGTCTAACACATCAGAATTCAGGACCTTGGAGTTCACCCTGGTTTGCTGTTTCACTATTTTCTCATGTCCCTTCAGGCACCGATAATAGTAAGAAACACCACAATTTTAGTTTACTGCTTAAAGAAAGGCATTATCAAATTTATTATTGCTACAACCCTATAGAGCATTATGTTTTGTCACAGCAGAATGAACTGAGGCAGGAAAAAAGGCCTAGGGGGAACTTTCCTTACCTCCTTGTTATGAACACAGCAGTTCAAGAGAGCATCACAGAAATGCTGTCCTATTGACTCCAAGTCTTTCATATCAAAGTGGGTGCTTTGTCTGCAGCCTGCAGCATCAGTATGAGCAAGACAGAAATGAAAACATCAGTCATCCTGCTGACTGCTAGTTATCTGTGATATTTCAGGATGGTGGCTGACTGCAAACTCACGTATCTTTCACTGACAGATGCTAGACAGGTCTATGACTGCTGGAGTTTTATACAGTTTGTATTGCAGACCATTATTCTATCTATATGAAAAAATTTATGCACTCAGAGGGGGTTAACTATAATGCACAGTTAACTGATTCCCTATTACAAAATTTCCTAAAAATACAGCTGGCTTTAGTTACTGCTTTTAATTTGCCATCCACTAATGTTGATGTACATATGCAATAATGCTAGTGGTGGCCTGAAAGGCTGCTAGGTGAATGCCCTAGTTTTAGTCCCTTTTCCAACTTTCATCTTAAATCGTCATTCACTTCTACCCAATAAGCCAGAACATCAACAAGGTGATGGTAGCTCAAGCTAACATTTTGCATTAAAAGCCAAAAGTAAAGGTCTTGTTTGATGATTCCTACTACACAGCTACAGGGAATTGTCTCACCCAACTTAGAGCCACAGATAGAGGCTTCCAAAGTGTAGCTGTTGTTGATGCCCATTTTCCACATTACCACTCGACCTGTGCCTTCTTTGCTCTTCCGTACTCTGAAACGGCAGTCTGGGAATGAGAACTTAAAAGGCAGATAAAGCATTACACTTTGAAGTAAATAGGAAGATGCAATAATTCCATTTTAACCCTGCAAGTTTTTTAAATCTTATCTACAAGCTGAACAGTTGTGAGTTTTCACTCCATTTGAATATCACACAACATAGCTCAGAGCATACTGTTATTACTGGTATAATGGAGATGGAGGTGAAATAACAGCCCTTTGATTAAAAGTTTATTTTACTTTGAGGATTTATGAGATGACTGCAAATATTTTTTTTTTATGTGGCTGTACTTAATGTTTCTAAATGATCCTATATAGACAGCTGACCAACTGAGTTACCACAAATCCTGCTGTATACCAACATGTATATTTACTAAAAAACTGGAACAGCTCTTCGCTCATTTGTTAATAAACCAACAGCTTGATGCAACTGATCTAGAGCTCACAACCACCTCATTGATATCTGAGGAAGACAGCATTAGCTGCAAGTATGCAATGACATCTTGTAGGTTAGTTTGTGTGTTGTTTTATTCCTGAGCCTTTGCAACCTTTCTGATTCAAAAGAAGCTTGCTGAAGTCAGGTTTTGCTGGAAAATAACATATTAAAAGCCATTGCTTCCTACAAAACGTTTTTTGGTTGTTGTTTTTTTTTTGTTTTTTTTTTTTTCCCTAACTGAAATACTTTACACAAGCAGTGATTTTGACACAGTTTTCAACACAAGTTTTCAAAATGATTCAATCTGGAGAAACATTTTTCCTCTTTAATTTCTTATTTGCTTATTTGTTTTTAATTCTACAATATATTTTAAAGCTGCATTTAATATGTGAGTTTATAATACTTAATGTAAATTTTTGACACTGTTAAAACAATGTTACTTTGGTATCTAATTTTTTTTTTCATTCTGTTAAAAAAATCCTTACAAAATGCTAACTTTATGTCCCAACTTAGCATTGATACATTCTGGAGTGCTGGAATTTCAAAGGAGTTAAAATTTCATATTCCTACCACTTCTAGTTTAGACAATTGATGGTCATCTTTTAGTAAATGTGATACCTTAACAAAAAATTACAGATCTCAGATGGTGCTTGAATTTTCAGGTGAATAAATTTCTAGCCAGACATTTTCTTACCTTATCTGGGCAGCTCCTGCTCAGCAAGAGTGGGAAGACACGTGGATGCATGGATGGTGCTTTTGCTTGATGCTTTCCCTCACAACCATACATGAAGACATTTTGTTTCCTGTTGTGACCATGGATGTCACAATACAGGAAAACATCACGTTCCACCATCACTCTGTAATATGGGATGATATAGAATACTTTATTAACAGTGGTTTTTTTTTTTCCTGCATTGCAGAAACTAATCTGAGATAGTATGTGACACTGAAGCTCATGTGTAACCTAAAGAGAAAGAAATAAATACAAGCTTCATATTCTGAGTGCTAAATTAAACCTTTAGTGTGCCAGATTAGAGCCAAACTGCTCAATTCACTCCAGAATAAAACACCTGTCACTGCATGGAAATAAGATATGAGAGTATGCAACATCAGCCTTTGTCCATGTGCTTGTTCTAACTCTCAGGCTAAGTTATATGCATCCAGCTCTGTAGATGTGTACACGAGCATGTTGTACAGCTGAAACCTGCTATTCTTATCTGCTGCTCTTTCACTATTGTACATGTGTTGAATAATACATGCTATACAACTATGAGACTGAAGTATAAACCGCAGTGAATACTCTTTCCTTTATCCAACTGGAGACATCATTTTTTATCATGTGCCAAGATTCTGCAATGTATTATTTCTTAACTAACTTTTTAGAGAAAATTCACAGGCAGATACACTGGGGTTTAGCAACCCACACCCCCAGTGCCCAATTCGTGTTGAAGCAGAGCTATACAGGGATGATGTGATGGCACACGAGGCTCTACTCTGAGCAGAAGTTGGAAATCCATGGTGGAACTAAGAAGGAAGCAGTAATAAGCATACCTGTCTCAGCTGACAGTAGCTGAATATGAGACTGAAGGTCAGTAGCACAACAGCAGACATAATTAACATTAATTACAGGGCACTCACAAGTGCACGCTGCCTCCATATAGTAAGACAGAGAGAGGAATTCTCATGGAAAAGGAGAGGCACAGTGCTAATCTCCTGTAAACTAGTGATCTACATGCCAAAACACTAATTTGAAAGAACTCAGATCTTATTTAAAACAGTCTGTAACTAGAAGAAAAACATTATATGTACTAACTCTGACACTGGCTTTCTGCACTAAAGTCTTGTTTGTAATAATTTGTCACAGAAGTTAAACCAGAAGGATTTAGTTTACTAGCTGAAGGTTTAGTTTAATACCCAAAGGTTTAGTTTTATATCCTGAGTATTCATGTCTCTGTGACTGGAAGTCTGCATAACAAATCACACATACTTGTAGCAAAACAAACAGCAAACTTGTCAGTCTTTGCTTTGCAATGGACATCTGGGACCTATTCTGAACCTAACTTCATTCTGGGACACAGATGTATGCCAGAAAAGAGAAAAATTAAAGGAATCAGGAATTTGACAAATAGATTTTGGCAGAGGATAGTGGGGAGAAATATGCTGAAAATGTTTTGACAAAAACTCGTTTACTTTGGAGATATAACTCATTACTAGGAATGGGGAAAGTAAATTAAAGGAAAACCTGCACAATATCGAAGAAAAATATAACCCGCTCTGAAATGCAACTGAACGTGAACAAAGTGGTCAGAGAGGGTTGGACACAGGGCAAAGATGTAAACAATACCGAAACAATAAGGGACACAGAGAAGTCACACTACTAAGGAGACAGTGGAAAAGAAAATCTTCTATTCTAAAGAGAAAGAAAACAAGGTTACCTTTTGATCATGTTTCGGGTATACCAGATGGAAGGATAAAATTCCTTCATGTTAGATCTGTATTTGCGATTCAAGTCCTGACCTGTTAAAGAGCAGCGGTGATTTCCCACAATCACACCATCTGGATTCAACATGGGTACCACTTTGAAGAAAAAATTTTCCCGCAGGAGTTGAGCTTTGTCTGAATCGCCAAGAATGTAATCCAGGAAGCCCTTCATTATCCAGGAACTGTTAGTTTCTCCTGGATGCACCCTTGCGGTTAGTATCACAGCCGCCTTCTTGGTGCCCCTGCCACTTTTGGTGGGGTTGGTGATAGTCAAAACATACACTGTGTTTCCTGCCAGTGAATGGCACAAGATGTGCCTCTTGCAGAATTTGGACTTCACTGGATCTTTAGAGATGGCCACCAGGTACTCCTGCAAGTTGGAGTAGGTATAAGGATAGCAGTGGGCAAAGTAGCAGGTGTCTTGGTCATGAGGGAACTGGAACGTCCAAGTGAGCGAGAAATACTGACGTCTCCCTTGGCCCACATTGTTTTTGTAATACTTGATTTCATTTCCAGTCCTTCGCCAGCCAACCTTGTGTTTCTCAGCATCGGCTTCCGAGTACAACAGTGGCCGCAAGCCACGTTTATACAGGCTGTTACGCTTGGTGAAGTTGACAATAGTGAAGCGATACGGCACCCCTGCCTGTGTATTGCTAACTCGGAAGTAGTACCACTGTGTGTGTCTGCTTGTGTAGAGGTCGGTGTGCAGGGTCAGCTGGTACTCAAATTCACTGCTGGTAGGTAGAAAGAAGACAAAGAGTTGTGATGCTGGTTAGCACGGTAGTATGATGCAGCATCAAATAATGCAGACTGCCATGAAAAGGCACCCCACAGCGAATCAGGTGCAAATCAGATTTATGTGGTCATAAATCAAAGCCTATGGAGCTGCCAGGAAAAATACGTAATCGCACTGAGCATGTCAATAATGCAACTGCTGTCTTAGGACTTTTAATTATAACTAGGACTTCTAAACTCGTTCTCCACACTATGCTTTAAAAGCAGGAGCTTAAGAAAAGGCACTGAGTTTCTGTGGGTGATCATCACCCAAAGAAAATATTCAGTGCTATGGAATGGCTATCACATCACTTCAAGTGAAGGCTACCTGAAACTACTTTTGAAGATTACTCAACTAATGTAAAACAAGTTACAAACAAAGAGTAATGCATCCTGCTCAGAAACTGATAGCAGACTGCTGATAATAGCAACTCAAATAATAACTCCACCTTAATAAAAGAAAAAAAAATAGAAACTTACACTTTGACTACCTTCTGCAAATTCCCACTCTCAAACCGTGCTTCAAAGATCAGTGTGTTGTCCCCTTTCTGATGGAGGATTTGCGTCAGGGGGCAGAGACCTCTCACTTGGGAATACGTAAAGCAGGGGGTTTTGTTAGCTAGGGGAAGAAGCAGAACAGATGTCTTTCATTTCAGCCTGAGTCATTTTAGGGAATACCTGCATCCTCCTGAAAATTCCTTCTAGAAACAGACAGCTGCATGGAGCTGAACTTCAAAGCATATCTTAGGTAAGCATTAAAGAAATTATACGAAGGTTTTGCTGGCCACTACCACTTAACCTTATGGATTTGAGCCAGCCTAAAATCTGAGTCTGTCTTGGAGGTGCCTGTGTCTCTGCATGAGCAAAGGACAATTCATACTATGTACTTGGGCAAAGCAACTGAGTTAGGTGGAAAGACTCTAGTACTGAATTCCACCGAGTCTTCTCATCAGTCAAATGGGCAACTTCTGTACTCAGAAATCATACATAGCTGACAAGTCTTTTCATCATTTGTTTTTTAAATCTCTGTATTCAATTATTCTAGTCTAGAAGTAAAACATACAACACCCAGACCCAGCAGCAATCACTTTCGTATTAGAGGTGATGTTTACACATCACATTTAGCATGCAGTTTGAGCCCATACCTCCTCTTGTTCTCTTCTGCTACATTTTCCTCATATGAGAGGCTCACAGAAGCACAATGCAACTTTTTACTACAATCTTCATTGCCTTAACTCACTAAAGACCAGAACTCTTGGCATAATTTTAAGTCCTTGGTAAAGGATCCTCCCTTTACAGAATCAAGACAATATTTTTAATATTTATTTGCTTTCTCTGTATTGCCATCAATATGGTGGCAAAGGCATGGAAAACCAGGGTAATCAAAACTTTCTGTCATCCCCAAACTGTACCCACAAAACAGAGAGAGAGGATGTGGCTTTTCTGCCAAAAACTGGGAGCCCAGAGATCCTGCTGCAGAGTTGGTGTAGCCTGTGACTCCAGCCGACCTCAGCAGCACGAGCTGTGCTCTGGCACTTGGGTTAGGGCCAGTTCAGCGAAAAGGAGGACAAGTGAAAACTGCAGGTACTCCAGGATGAAACTGTGTACTATGAAACTCTGAGTTTCACACTGCTGGTATCGAACTGGCTGTCTCATCCACCAGAAGTGAAATCTCTGCTATATAACTTTCTAACTAGCAAAATGAAGGATTTGTACTGGTGGCCAGACACCGATCGCCAAGCTGTTGTATTCTCAGTTCCTGTATTCTTGCTTCTCTCTACCTCCTTACTGCTGGATCCACCTGAGGAGAAACTGCTGCCTCACCATGCTGTCAAATAAGGGGGATTGACCTTGTACCATACAGCAGGTTAGAGCTGCACAGCAGCTCCCTTTCAGCTCAGAGCTGTGTCTGCCTTTGCTTGACTGGGGCTGTGTTGAAGATTTATCCTGCAGTGGTCTGTCTTATTCTCTTCTGTAGTGTTACTAAAGCTCTAATAGTACTACTCAGGGAAGGTATGTAAAGCCAAGATTCCTATAAGTCGTTTTTTCATTCCTTGAATCACTGTTGCTGTACGTAAAAGATACCATATCCAGTGCACTGTTCTTCGTGATTGAAGTTACTACAGACCCACAGGGGTTTTCATTAGAGAAGGGCTGTTAGCTTTGCTAGCTGGGATACCCACTTGAATAATTACTTTCTCTTTAGCTGAAATTCCATCCACAGTTTCTCTACTCTTCCCTTCCTCTTCATGCTCTTCCTTAATATTAAGGAAGAAAAATATTTCAGTAGTTAATCCAGTAAGTGTTTCTAGAAACATCTGTATCAGTTAAATGATATAGAATTAAATGCATGCATAAAGTCTGAGATCTATATTCTAATTTTTCTGCATGGGAGTCACCATTGGATTGCATTTTTTTTTCCCAAACCAGATTTTAGGAGGGCCTGTAGGAATCCAGGAGCAGGTAGCTTGTAGCCAGGCAGTAACTCCCAGCTCCTGCTGAATTCAAATTCAAAGTGAGTTGAAATCAGGAGAGTGCTGCTCCTGTCTCTCAAAGGATGAGAAGGCTCATTACATGTCAGTCAGTCTGAGGCACTCAGGTCATAAATCTGCATAACACAGATGCCTGTCCTACCCTAAAGAGCTTCTCTGTGAGGAGGATTTTAGGGTTTTATAAATCATATTTATTGCTATATAATTTAGATGGCAAAGCTACTGAGCTGGGGGTTTCTGTCCCAGGAACAGAAAGATGAACTCTGTGGAGCTCCAAAGTTCTCCTCCCACCTGCTCCTGTCTCCCAGCTAGCTGCAGTGCCCAGCAGCCCAGGTCACACAAGGAGTCTGCTCTCTCTGGCACAAGCAGGGAAAGGGAAATAAAGGCTCCAGAGCTCTGAAGTTCTCTGCAGGTCCTGCTATCAGCCAAACCCAAAGCTAGAGGGCAAAGCAGTGAACGTACAACTACAGTCACTTAAAAACTCATCCTGTAGTCAACAAATGCTGACAATTACTATCCACGTGTTTAGATACAAAATCTTCACAGGGATAGCAAGCACTGATATTCTGCTGCAGCTTTATGTTTGCTAGCCTGGGAATTGCTAACTGCCTGTACAATGTCACTCCTCGGGAGCAGGAGGGAGAACTGGCCATATTTAAAGGCAGCAGTTTTCACCTATTCAGTTGGAAAGGAGGTTGGAAGTCTGAGAACCATGACACCAAAATACACACTTTGCTGGAGAGCTGTACAGGCTAAAATAAGAACCACTTCCATTTGCCTGCGCATGAAGTTCAAGTCAGTAATAAAGGACATGGGAAGCTGCATTTTTAAAGAACAGCAACTAAAGGACCATAACAGAAATCACTGTCCTTGTTTTCAAAATGGTGGGGAGCTGGGATTCAGGGTGTTCCTCCACATCTTGCCCCTTGCAATAAATTAGCAGGTCCAGTTGCAGAGGACGAAGGTTCCTTCCTAGTAACACAGTAGTTACCAGTTATCTTGGCCACCAAATGTAGCAAACTACTATTGAGAGGTAATACAACCATACTGCAGAAGTATACAATTTCTAAATAAACACGATGTCAAAGAGTACCAGTGCTTTTCAGTATAATTGCAAGCTTTTATCAACTGCATTGACCTCAAGAAGGATGACAGCTCCCTTTCAGTTTTGCGTTTCTGAAAATGTTGTAGCTACACGTAGTTATCCTAGGATTGCAAAACTAGTATCATCCCTTCTTACCTATGTAGAAGTAGCCCAGAATCAAAATCACAAACTGCACAAGTTCCAAGGTCATCCAAGGCAAGTGGATCAACTTAGCATACACAGAAAAGAATAAATAACTCTGATAATGAACTGTTGATGGTGGAATAAAGCAACTAACTCCCTTCAATTCTGTCCAATTAATTCTTGCCAGATTTAGGACCCTGTAATCAAGCACTGATCCAATCTGGACAGATTTTGTTTATAAGTCTTGGCAAAACCACTATAGCAAACAGGATAACAAAATATTCTCCCAACACAGACTTTAGTGTTGATCTTGCAGTTACACAACTCTCATCTTTTTCACTTTCTCTTTTGGCTGTTATCTTTCTCCACTCATATTTTCACAACAAACTCATTTTAGGCTGGTTCGTACAGCTATTCACTAAGAACAATGGCTTGAGCTGAGCTGGACTTCTGAGATAATTAACAGTAAAAGCAGAACTTATGGATGAAGAGACAGCTGTGTAATGACGTAACTAATTTCCTTCCCTATTTGTAGGAAAATATTTTATTCCCAAGTACTTTAAAATAACAATAAGAAATCATATGGATTTCATCAGGCTTTGAATTACATTCATAAAGGAGATCAAAGCAGGTGCTTCATCTATCTACAGCTGACAGCAAGATTTCTTAGTGTTCCCACCTTTTTCTAGATAAATCACAGTGCCTTTGTCAGGAGTTTGGTATGGTGGCATCATCTCCCAACCTGTTGGAGTGTACAATGGTTCAGGGGTAGTGGGTATCCAATCTGAAAAAGAAGAGACACAGAGAAGAATCACAGAGAAGAAGTACAAGCAGAAAGATTGTATCAGATTCTTTATAATATGAAAAGCATTGAAAAGTAGTTCATACTATTTATAGCAGTCACACAAAAAGGAATAGGGAAATCCCCTTTTGAACCTCATTTTTTGGATCTGTAAACAAATCCTCACTGTAACTCTAAATAAAAAATACGTATCAATCTGTGCATGAACTAATTGTTGCTGTGCCCTTTACAGCGTGTTTATCACTAGTGAGAATGACAATGGTGAACATCAGGCAGCACTGTGACCATTAGGAAAACAGATGCTACAACTACAGTGTGAAGTCATTTACTGCTGACCACACAGACGCTGCATGGCTACAATGCAGTGTCTCCGTATCACTTGCATGACATCTGCCTGGCATGTCAAAGATTTGTCAAACACTGATACATTCTGTCAGTAGGCCTTTCCTTACTGTAATACTCACAGTAGTCCTGTACCATTCCATTCAAGATACCGGGATCTATGTTCAAAGGTAACAGAAGAAGGGCATAGGTGACTCAGTCCCAACTCTGCATTTCTGATTTCTACTGATTATTTTCAAATTGCAATTGGTTGTATCTATAAAGCACAGGGACTTCTCAAGTCTTCACTATCTTGAAATAGGTTTGCAGTATGAGTTTTGTACACACTGGATAAAAGCAGTTATTAGCTGACATTTACATTTAACTGTATAGTCCTGAAATACAGTAATGACATTACTATTAATAGTACATGAGATCTGTACTGAATTTGCAAGACCTCAGGACTGAGCCTTGTCAGGTTTGGTCTGTCTGAACTTTTATTTGTCTGCCTGCAGCTTTGTTTCACTTAATCTAGTTGTGACAGCAACTTCTCTAATTGACCAGGTATGGATGGCTAATTCGTTTTACTTTTGATTATCTTTATGTGGTACAACCACAAGCTTATATGAACAGTAATAACAAGCAGTTGTTCTGTGTAGAAACTCAGACCTAGAGCTGGACAAAACTCCTTTCAGCAGTAACAAAGAGAACAAGAAAATAATATCTAATGTATGTAAAGAACAACATATACGGTAAATTCAGATGTAACATGGAGCTGCAGACTGATGAAGAAAGAGGAAGGTTTAAGAGTGACCTAGCAAACATATGAAAATGACCCCAGAGTTATTTGAATCCTAGAGTAAGGAAGAAGATATCATCAATATGAACATCGTATTTCCCCCAGTAAAGGACTCCAGAGGCTGACAATTTGCAACAAACGTGTCCTCTCCACCAGAACAAAATCTCTGCAGTGAAACTGCTGACCTTAGGATCTAGAGAAGCAGTGGAAGGGGAAGTCAGGAAAAGTCTGTGAATGAAGCATATGTATAACAAATTTAACTGCATTGTTATTTTTTCTGTAGCAATTAGACCTGGATGAATAATGATCTGTCTCTTCAGATTTCATTGATACTAAAAATGAATTCTTGGCTTTATTTACATATAAGGTGTGCTTCCTTTTTTGCCCATACACAAGATTTTAAGCATAAGACAATAACTTACCAATGTGCTCAATTCTGTCTCTGACAACTTCACATTGGTGTGGCCAGTACATCATGGAAAACTGACCCACAGGTGACGAGTCATCCAGATTCTGAGGCTCCCGAGGTTGGGGTACCACTGCCTCTGAGTCAGATGATAACAGATTCTGTTTTGCCCTTGGAAAAAGATGAGCACAAACGGAATCTATAAGAAAGTGAAAGAGCCCTTGCATCAGTTTCTCTTGCTCTCCCAAGTGGGAACAGGCTGCAGAGATTGCCTACATGAAATTAACATAATTAAGCATGGCACAAAAAAAAATTACATCCCACTGAAATGTGAAGTTAATGCTCCATCCTTTAAATCACACTGAATTTAAAAGTAGTATTTAATGAACAGTTAATTCATTACACCACAAAGCACATCAAGCATTCAGTTACAGCAGGGAATAGCTTATTTGTGTTCCTACAGAAAATATTGGCACCTTTTATTATTACTGCTTTTATTACTAGTGTGTTATGGTAGGGCTTACAATCTCAATGTCTGAGTCAAAATCTTTGCTGTTCAATATTATACAAGTAACAAACAAAACTTATTCCTACAAAGCTTATCACAGAGTGCATGCAACAATGAGATAGTACTGGCTAGCATGACAGGATGAGGTAACGATCTGATGCTATCACAAATTTTGTAAAGCAACAGAGACATTTGGAAGATGGGGGGGTGTGTGTCTTTGCTTGTCAGCAACGAATTCTTCAAAGTTATGAGAAGCCACTTGAGTAAAAACATGATAGGCAGAGAAAAGGCTTTGAAAAAAATCTAGTAATTGGATGATTAGGACTGCTAGTACTGTGCACTGACCACAACATTGCCTTGAGAAAATTACTTGTCTTTGTCATAGATATGACAAGATCCCCTTTCAAAGCACTCCCTATCATTCCTACTATCTGCTTAGAACAGGGCAAATACAGGAGTTTGGTTTTATGGGAAATTGTTTTGTATTTGCTTTGGCTCTGAATCAGATACAAGCACCTGTAAGACTTACTTTACCAGACAAAAAAAAAAAGCTTTAAATTTGGTTTCTATACCTACTTCTCACAACAAACAAAATAACATAATAAGCAGAAGCACTTCACCTGTAGGATCTGGTTTCAAGTGCAGATGACATCATGTGCAAAGTAAACAAATTAAAACCAAAACTGATGAATGCATTTTTAAATGCTAGTGGATACCTAATTCCAGTGGATACCTGGCTACCATAATGCCAAATCAGTAACTGGTGATCAAGGACATGCTGCTATATATAACTATTTACCTAGGTCAAGAACTATAAAATGGTACTAGATCTAACTCCAATTCTGTTTAGAGCTTCACAACTATGTGAGCACTAATATCTTCCCCCTATTATTCTTCCACTCTGTGGTCTTACAAGAGACATGTAGGAGAATAATTGAAAGGTTCGAACTTGTAATAATACACTGCTGACTGTCTTCTGTCACAAATGAGTTATGGGGATCTTCAACCTTAAAAAAATAATATTAAAATGCTAAAAAAAAATGAAAGTCCACAGTAGGACAGCTTGCCTTTGTTTATTTTAAGAGAGAAGAGGTGCCTCTGTTTGGTTTACTTTATGGCCTATGTAAGAATTAGACCAAATCCGCATGGTCATGAACTCTCATTATTCCTGGCTGCCCCTCAATTGTGACATGCTTTCACTTGTCCTCTTTTGCTTCCCCAGCGCCTCTCATGTGCAGCTCTAATATTTCTACTGTGTTGTGAGAAAAGCTAGAGTGGAAAACTGATACATGCAAAAAGTGTTTGGTTTTCAGCTTCATGACTTAGTCTTCTGATCCCACTCATGAAACAACCCTGATGTAAAAGCAGGAGAGGCAGTGGAAACCAGTATCTTGGACAGCCTTTCTGGTGGCAGCCCAGATACATGCCACAATTATCCCAAAGGAATAATGTCTAGGACAGGGAGGTGAAGGACTTGATACTGGGGAATTGAGCCATAACACGTGGCAAAAATTTAAAAGGCACCACCCTGCAGCCAAAGTGCATGTGAGCCATGAAAAGCAATCAACTATCCCGAGTTAAATTTGAAGCACATTGGCAAGGCAGCAGCGAGACAATGCTTGTCCCCTTCACTGTGCTTAACCTGGAACATTTATTTCCTGGGTTTTCAATCTAGTCCTCTTTCATTAACATCGTATTCAATTAAAACCCAAATTTCCATCCTGAAATATGAATAAATCTTGATAGCATCAATTGCATTCCACAGCTGGCAAAAATACTCTCAATTTTATTTACTGCTCCTATTTACATTCACCACATTTGCAAACATAATGCAGGGTTTCTAAAAACCTGCTAGTCCAGTAGCTGAGGTGAGTAGTCAGGAGCTTCATTTTTACAGGTCAAGAACTGAAAGTACTTCACAAACCAAAGCACAGATAAAATCACCGTGTAGAAGCAGAGGATTTTACTTTGTTCACTAAGGAAGAGCCATACTACTCTCAGTAACATGGGTAGTGCCAGGGATGAGCTCTCAGGACAGGAATTTGGGTAGTGCGATGTACAACAAGGTCCCAAAACTTAATTTTATGGACAAGGGTGCTCTGCGATGTATTGCAGGTGCCTGTAGAAATGGCTTGTCAATGGGGCTGCTTACTGATTTTTCTTAAATGATGCCATTGCTTTTAAGGAATTACAGCTGAGCTCCCCGTGATCTGCGATCACCTCAGGCGAGGAGCCGGCGCCCGCGGCACTTACAGAGCTGCCTTCCTCCCTGACGGCGAGGCTCTTCTCCCCGTCCCGTCCCGTCCCGCTCCGCTGCCCGCCGCCGCGGAGGGGCCCGGGCGGCGGGACTAAGCATCCCGGCGACGCGGCGGTACCGCCGTGACCCCGGGCCCCGAGGGGCGGCTGCCCGCCTCCGCCAGAGCGAGCACCCGCCGCCCCGGAGCCGAGCGGGCCCGGCCGCCCCGGGCTGCCGGCGGCAGAACCGGCCGCCGCAACCGCCTCCGCCCCGCTCTCGCGAGAGTTCGGCGAGGGCCGCGCCCGCGGCCGTTGGGGCGGGTGCGGGCGGGGGGTGTGGGGGCAGCGGGCCCTGTGTTAGCCCCTGTCGCGGGCCGGCGGGGCGGGGGGCCCAGGCGCCGCGGAAAGGCCTGACCTGCGGGGCCGCCGGAGCTGCGCAGCCGCTTTCCCTGCGCCGGCTGGTGCTTCGGCTGGCGTGGGCAGAGCAGGCGTTTTCCTTCTGTTACGCGTCAATCGTAGACCTTTGAGTCTACGCAAGCAGCATAAAACATTGTCGTGAAGTAAATACAGTAATGATAAACCCTGGGCGTTTACAAGGGCAACGCTTTTTGTCCCGCTCTGTTAACGGGCAATAGCTGCCCTGCGGCCTCTGAAGGAGGAGCTGCCCTGAGGTAACCCTCCCACCCTGCACAGGTGAGGCAGGCGGCTCGTCAGCGCCCGAGGAGCCGTGAGCAGGCAGTCTTGGTGGGTGGATTTATACATGAGACACGTCAGTGGTGCCCTGGGCTCTCCCTGAGAGACAGAAGCATTTCCCAGTCTTCCCATTCTTACGGTATAGTACCATTGGTGCCTTCTGTAGAGTTTTACTAGCCCTTTTATAGTCAGAAGATAGTCAGCTGAGTAATTTGTTTTCTAATTTCTCATTACATTCTGGTGATCACTCTATCACTTCAGTCTCATGGCTACAATAATTGGATTAACTATTTTTTTCACAGCGTTCCGTTTGTCTGAAATAGGTAGAAGGGGATGCAGGAAGTTGCACGGAGCTTTAGGTGTCATCACCAGTGCCACAGCAAGGCTGCAAACACCATGAGTCACATGTAGTGTGGATCCTTCTTTCTTGGTGCTGCCCTTTTAATTTTCTGGTTTCCTTGCCATGGTTCTTCACCCTTTCTAGTGCCTGGATGACTCCCAGATGAGCTAGCATCCAGAGCAACACCTCTGCACAAGGCCCAGAGCAGTGCCCAGAGTCCAGAGCCTGTGCAGAGACCGCCCAGGGGAGGAGGGGTTAACCTCTTTGCTGACCAGTGCCAAACTGGTTTTGGAGCCCTGCAGCTTGTTTGCTGGTGCCAGCCCCGGTTCCTGATGACCAGCCTGGCATCGGTGCCAGTGGTTCACCATCCCTGGCTGAGGGGATCAGAGAATGAAGGAAGGCAGAGAGCAAAGAAGAGAAGTCCTGTGCGTTGCTTTCCTAGAACAAGGTCCGTTGTTAAAGAGAGGAATGAAGGCCCAACAGAAAGGGGAATTTAGACGGGAATTCAGAACTAACTATGATGTTGGAGGTCACAGTCACCTAAGCAAGCTAGCTGGATTCCCTCAACTTCCTCTGTTGTCCATGAATGCAGGTTCTCCCAAAGAAAAAGCACTAAATTTTGGATATGCTTGGGTATGCTCTCTGGAAGACCTGCTTTTCCTCTGTTGCTTATAGAGAGACCGGTGGAGAGTTTCTTGGCTAAAGTAGAAGTCCAAGTTGGTTGAGTGTGAATATCCACCCTTAGGATTTCTGTGAATTACGGGCAGGTGTGACTGCCCAGTGCCCTGAACCTTGACCAAAGCAAGTCACAAAGATGACGTGTGGTGACAGAAGGGACTGTGGGCGGTAAGTGTACTCTTTTACTGAGCAGAAGAGAGAATTTGAACCTGCCTCTTACAGTAGTGACATATTGCTATGCACTTTTGATCTGTATAATCATGGAACACCTAATAGCTCCACAAATAGTCTCTAAGACTAAACAGTCATGGGAGTTTTGCTGTTTGCTGCCATAAGACAAATGCCGTGACCTCTATATCAGCAATATGTGTTATGGTGGTATCAATTTGTACATGAAATGCACCATCACTGCTTCTTAACATATATTGGAGACTTACTCCCTCCCTGCAATAATCACATTGCACATAGAATTATACAACACCCTCTAGAGTCAGGCCCTGCATCTTCAGCACTGGAAAGCAGTGTGTATGTTTCTGTAGTGAAGATGGTCTTGAGATGCATGCAGGTGTGGAACATCTGTATCATGCTATTAAAATGTTTGAAAGAAATTAAGTCTCTGAGAGAAGAGATTTGAACCATAATGTTTCCCTACTTATGATGAGTGAAAATTGTGCATTTAATGTAACCGTATTTAGAGTGCTATTGTGTGCTGCAAGAAAACCTTTGTAATATGAGCAAATAGTGGGAAAGCCTTAAAAATTATTGTTTTGTAGGCTGAAAAGTAATATTAGCTGATATTTCCAGAATTGCTTTTTGGGTTTCCCAAAATGCCTATTGAAGGATCAGATTTGCTTCCCTTGTATAAACAATAATCTCTTTAATCTAATCACAAAACAAATAAAATCAATCATATGCTCTTATTTCAATGATTCACTTTTATTTCTGCCATCACAGTACTTTAAAATCATCAACACAATCACAATCGTGTTACATTAGGTGCTGTTCTTTGCTGAAGGTCTGCCCTTCCTTTAGAGAGGTGAATGGGAGAGGAAGGGAGGGCACGGATAGGAGGCAGGAGTGACTTTGCCCAGAGGATGGAGTGGCAGAACTGCAAATGGAAACTGTGTCATAAATCTGTCCTGCCCACTGGGCAGCATTGTCCCTTACAGGAGCTCAAAAGTAAGATGCTGAGCTGGCAGCGGGAAGTTCACAGCCGAAACTTTAGTCTGGGGGCTCCAGGAACCTTTGGGTACCTCTGGTGAGAAGTGATGTATTGCTATATTCTTTCTTAGGAAAAATTGTGTGTGTTTGTGGCAACTTGATTGAAAATGTTTTCTTTAAGCTTTATTTTGCTAACTGTTTCTCCGTCTCAGTCTTAATTTTTTCCCAAATGAATCAAGGATGGCAGAATTTCAGGATGAGTGCACTAAAGCTTTGTTTGATATTAGATAAATCCTTCTTCACAAATTATTAGTTTGTTTTTAAAGCATCCGTGCTATCCTTAAAAGAGTTTTATTTGCATTTGCAAAATGGAGTGAAAGGTGCTATTTTGAGATCCTTGTGTAAACTTTATGAAAAAAGTTTTTGACATGTTTTTCTTTAATGTTACTTTTTCTATAGTGACACAGTTCTCTCACAGTGCTTTGGGTTTGCTACTTCTTTCCCTAAAAATCATTTATCTCCAGCAGAACAGCTAAGATAACGGGAAAATGGAATTAACTTTTAAAGGTTTCAGCTGCTGTTGTCAGCATAGAAAACAGAAAGGCCACAAGGTGGTAGCAGTCTGTAAGGCAGGGTCAGGAGATGTTTGAGAGCTTTGCTTCTTGATCCAGGGAGGCAGATAGTGCCTGTGCGCCTTATGCCATACAGTGGAGCATTTACAGTGTTCAAGCACTGTTATTTTAGCTCTGTTTTCTTGAGTTATTTCACTTTGAGGTGATCCTGTGTGAAGTAGAGCAATGGGGGATAACACCGCAGTGTCTCTTGTTGGCCCTGTAGGCTGGCAGCATGTGACTTGGCCAACGATGCCAAGTGCAAAGCCATTTCAAAATTGCCAACATAAATTGGCATCTGGGTTATGTGCTGCCATGAGGCCTTGGCTGGCTCATGCAGTCTGTCTGCTTTTTGGGTCTCTTCTAATGGCATCCAGAATGGCACAGCCCCAGGTTGCAGAGTGCTGGCCTCCTATGTACTCCTTATGCCAGCTCGGATCAGTTCAGAGTAATGTAAGGGGTTAACTTCATACTGCCTGGCTTTGTGAGAGATCAGATGTCATGTACCCTCCTGGGGCTGACATAGGCTTATGTTAATAGAAAAAGACAGTGAAAACTCCATCATGTGCTCTGTCTGATTTGACAGAAATACAGTCATATGCCCACATATGATCAAGATTAAATTTGTGCTGCTGAGTGATCTGACAGTGTTCAAACACCCATTAATGTGCATGAAACCACAGTTTGGGGCAAAAGAAGATATGCTTTAACTTCTGCTGCTCCTGCTATGAGAGAAAGGAGGAGAAAGGGGAGTTTCTGACAGATTACTGGGGCAGACAACTGCAGGGATCATTTTGGTCTGGGTTACAATTACCAGAAAACATACAGGAGATTGTTCTGTAAACTGTTTCACTGTGAATTCTGAGAGAGTTTCATCCTTTCTTGATGCATGGGAATTATGGGAATGTGCGTGAGGACTGACACCGCTAACCTATTTCTACCCTGTTATCTGCTCTACATTATACTTGAGTGAACTTTTTGTGTGTCAGCAGGACTTAATATAAAGGCAACATTCAATTTGCAACATTATAAGGTTAATTTAACTCTCCAATGAAGATAAGCCCTGCATTTCTTGCTGCATTTCTATGTATAAATGCTGGTTGTGCCATGAATAGCAACAGTTTAATTTGGGCATGGTGCTCAGATGTGAATTCTCAGACACTTTGCAGCATGCAATTTAAATCTTTTAAAGCAAAAAAAAGGGCGTTAGTACTAGTATGGACTCTACATTCATTTTCATTTTCTTACTGAGAGCCATAACCAACAGTCTGAAATGTTGTTTCCTCCATGGAGTCCATCTCTACTCTCGTGAAAGTTTTTCTCCTCAATGCTAGTGATTTAAACACCTATTCATTGTTTGGTAAGACTCTGTCCCTGGAGTCAAAGAAAGCATGAAAAAATGTCACTTAATGTTGCACAAAATTAAGTTATGGTTTGTGTTAGGTCCCTTTCACCCACTGCTGCAAACATGAAAACATGCTGTAAATTTATCTTGATTTTTATAGGACTGTTCTTAGCAATACACTGAAGTGTGCTTATGTTAAACATGCTACAGATGAGTTCCAAAATAAGTAATATCCTAAATTGACCTGATTACCTTCACTGCTGTTTCCTTTGGCTGTAATATAGCTTATGGAGTGGTAAAATGCAGCCCTGAAGGTAACAGTCTAGATTGTTGCTCTCTGATACAATCATTGATACATTTTTCTGTTTGACTTAATTTCCATGTTTTCCTTTGATTCCACAATTCTCAAATGCGCATTCTCCATTTTACAGAAAGCAAACTGTTTAAGAATATATATTCCAGCTACTTTTAGCTAAATAAAAATAATATACTCTCTGGATACTCATACAACTGGCTCACTTATGGGATTTAGTAAATCTCTATGAATGTTTACAGGTATTTGAGAAGCTCTTAGTTAAATCTCCTTTAAATCCAGTTATTTCAGCTTTGTTCTTTTCTGTTCTTTCCAGAAATTTTCTTCCCTCAGGCCATCTCATGAACGTCACATCACTAGCTGCCAATACTAATTCTTGTGTCCATGCTTGGGTTTCTTTTTTTTTCTTCCTTTTCTGAGCTCCAACTTTAATAAGCCTCCTGGGCTTTTTTGAAGATTTCATCTGCAACTGCAAATAAACCCTTGTGTACTGTGACGCTTCTATTTGGATTAAAAATCCAAGTGACCTTGTTTTAAAGACTGAACAAAGAGCTCTTGAAGATACATGGAGATGGATACTCGACACACACCCGAACTCAAACCTGGAGAACAGAAAAAGTAAACAAATTTTTTAAATTTTTTCTGCCTTCATTAACAAATTGCTCTGAGCCTGTTGTAATGTTTAAGTTCCTTCTTCTGTTTACTGAGTTAAAAAGCAGTTCTGTAAATTTTTCCATTAGAGGGGGTGTTTCTTTCCCATTTTCCCCTGAACGCACTGGTTCTTGTATATATAAAAAAAGTTTTCCCACATACTTGCGAGGATATTTATAATATTTTTATTTGTTACCTCATTCTGTTTTAAAGCCTTGGTTGAAGCTCTTGAGTTGTGTTGAAACAATCTGAGATCACCCAAAAGGAAACCTGGTGTCAGAAAGTTTGCAAGCAACAACATATGCCCTGTTCTGAGGCAACCTTGTTTTAACACAAGTGCTTCCCAAAATCATGTTATTTTGTGCCAGCACAACCCCTTGAGAGAAATGGGCGATGGTGAGACCCTCCTGGAAATGGATGAGAAAAAAGAAGTCAGAGAAAATGGGTGATGACCATGCATGGGTCTTACTGCTCCTGCACATGTTCTCCAGGGATAGGGAGTGTCTTTTTATTATATTCTTGTACACAGTGTTTAGCACAGCAGAGCTTTGAACCCTGCTAAGGGTGTTTGGATGTTTTGCGAATGCCAGTTGAAACTGTGCTGTTTAACTAATGGTTATTGTAGTGCTTTGAGAATTTGATTTGTTCCCACAGGTTTTATTTTTATCCACGTTCCCCAGCTACGTATTGGAGTGACTGTTGCTGTCACTGTCATGCCATGATTGGTCCTCACTGCATTCTGGACTACTTTATTTTTGGATTCGGAGTATGGCACTCACCTCTGATCACATGCAAATGTCTGCATCTGAGCTAGGCACCTTAAGTTTTTTCCCTCATCTGTGGAGGATTAATCAATGTAGCTGAGACTAGGGTATGAATCACTTCATGCTGAAGCAGATGCCTGTGTTTGGTTAGATGAATATGTCCTTCAACTCCAGTGGTTTTATTGACTAGATCCCCCTTGGCAGCCATGCTATAGATACTTAAGGTTAGGAGAGATGAATCGCATCCTTAGAGACCTCTTCTGTGCTGCCTGTATATCTAAGCATAGAAAGCAGATGGTGCCTAACCCAATCCCAGTCAGAGGGCTGGGTGCTGCAGGGGCTGTGTCCCTGGCCCAGGGAAGGGGCTCCCGCTGGTTTTCCCTATTCTATGAATCTGTCATAACCAGGCCCACGGAGTTGGCCACCTCTGGGGAAGAGTGTAAACTCCAGATAATAGTCTTTCTCCCTTTTTAACTCTGTGACATCTTCCCTCCCTGCCCTGCCCTGTTTTTGCCCTTCCCTTTGGCTAATCTCTGCTGCTGTTCCCAGCGCTATACTTGTGCCCGCGCTGCCTTCTACCCAGTCTGCCAGTTTTTTACTGGTTTCACTGTTTTTCCACTGGGAATTTTTCACTAGTGTCTTTCTAACTAGAGGGGCAAGAAGTAAGAGAAATTCCTTCCTCAGCTTTTGAAATAGCTTAGAACACAAAACAAGCTGCACTGGGCCAGCCTCAGGGTTCACACACCTGCTGTCTTTTGACAGGGCACAGCAAAAATTAGTTCATGCACAGATTGATATGTATTTTTATTTAGAGGTCTGGTTCAAAAGCATGAACTTTCACAAACAAGGTAGCAACTTGGCAGTGGGTCTGGGGTTGACATGTCTAATCCCTCCTCTACCCTTCTTGCTCTTGACTGGGCATTGCTGGCTGTGTGGCTGTTTTGTAAACATGGAGTTTACTTACAAGAACCAACTCAATTACCTTTTCTGATTTTTAAAATGAAATAATAATAAATTTTTCCTTAGTTATGAACTCCCTAGAGATTGGATATAGTCAGCAGAGAAGCAGTTAATGAAAGCATTGCCATCTGGAGTGATAAGGGCCTTGTGAGAGACCAGTAGTAGCAGGGCTGATGCATCACAATGTCAGTACAGAGTCAGTGAGTTTGTGACTTGCACTAAAGATTGCCTCTGATTTAACATGCAGTCATGGATCTGCTGGGATAATAGGGCTCTGAAAAGCCTTGTGACTTAGCAAGACTTCTGTAAGGAGCAGTCCAGCCAGAAATCTTCTTTAGCTCAGAAGGTGTACCCCATATTGTAAAATATGGGCTGATCATAAGCAACAATGTGACACCAGTGCTGGGAGGAACAGTGACCAGCTTTCCAAAATGTCACAGAAATAGCAGAGACAGTGAGAAAAGTTGATGGGGAAGATTCTCTGGGGAGGGAAAAGTTAAGAGACCCATTGTACAAAGGGGAAGCTGGACAGATGGTATATGCTTACTTATGGCAAGCTCTGATCCTACAGCACTGCATCAATAAACAAAAGCATTTAGAGAACAGCTATCCTGATTGAGTATCCTGTTAAGGAGCATGAACTTGAAGTTACATTTTCACAGCATCAGTGATAGTGTAAAGTCAAACCCCTCTGAAGCTAACCCAGAGGTTTGAAGTCTGCTTTCCTGCTGAACTCAGTCTGGGAATGACACCAAGCAGTCCCCTGGTAAAATGGCAAATAGATTATTTTACTATGGCTTCTTGTACCTGCTACATTTCTGATGTACCACCCTTAACTTGGGCTGTTTTATGCTGCTGAACAGGAGCATGGAAAATACTTCGTTATTTATTTCTTTACAGAAACATGTTGTCTAATGGTGATGTGGTCTGTGTAAAATACTCAGCATCCCTTCAGTGATTTCTGGATGAGCACATAGGTGGCATGTCCGTACTTCATAGCTCAGATATCCTGGAGCTAGCTCCAGTTACAGCTGGAATATTTTAGCAGTGTTGTGCTGAGATAGCAGCCTGTTCTAAAGAACAGTACAGCAGTTTCAGTAGTGACTCCGTTCCTCTGCAGGGAACGTTAGCTGGCTGGGCTGCTGTGATGAGGTGTCAGGCTGTTTCCCAGTCCAGGGCTATTTTGGTGGGCATTAACTCTGCAACCTTTGCACCACTCTCTGTTGTACAGTGCAGGCATGCTCTGTTGCCTGTTTCTGCACCAAACAGATGCATGATATAACAGACAACATGACAAATATTAACCCATAGAGGTTATTTTTGTCTGCTGTAAGATAGCTGTACCCAAATTAGGACAATGTGGAGTAGATCTGGTGATGCTTAATGAGTCAAGAAGATGCAGAGCTGGCTGGGTAAATCAGCAAAGCAGATCTGTAATGCAGAGAAGAAACAGTTCAGTAATGTTTATACTTTTAAGATGAAAGCAAAGCCTCTTGACTCTGTGAAATAACAACAGCTGAGATGAAGTAGCACTAGAAAGGTGATGAAACCACTGCACTAGCTTTAAGCTATCTGGCACAGATGCTGCTCTGGAAATTGGTGCAGCAGCAAGAATTCTGCATGGGCTGAAAAATGCTGCTGAGAAGCTATATAAAATCACCATAGTTTCATGCTCCATCTAGTTGAAACACTTATAATCCAGAAAGTGGTATATATGAAGGAGGTTACTGTTCTTTAGGTGGGTTCATAGACTTTTCGAGATGTCCTCCAACATTGGATGATGTCTTTTATATTTTTCCAGTGTTTCAAAAAATTTTCTAATGAAGCGTGTGTTCCTGCTTGCCTTGGTTGTTTTTCCTGGACCCTTCAGAAATAGTTCATGAAGTCCCTGGGGACTGTAGACCACAGGCTGAAAATCACTTAATAATTGTCTTTCCTGGTGCCTTGCAGATTCCTGGGACACAGAATCTCTTTCAGCAGAAAAACCAGGGTGATGCATCCACAAATGCATTCATTGTTTATTTGAGACAGAAGGCATATTTTTAAGGTCAAGACAATGGTGTATGCACGGCAAAAAGAACTGGATGGAGAACAAAAGGGCTAAGTGACATTTAGTGTGTATGATAATTATTTTCTTATTTTCTTTTTGCATTCAAAACTTTTCTTTGGAAGGTGAGGTGAGAGGTAAGTGAGTTTGTAGGGTAGAGAACACTGGTTAGACTTACTCTGCTGTGGCTATTTTTTTTTTTTTTCTGTTGACTTGGGGTTAGGAACAGTCTGTGGCTGTTTCTTCTTCAATTGTATTTTTAACTTCTGGCAAAGTCTCACAGTCTTGAAGATGCTTATTTTTATAGATTTCAGAAAACAAAATAAATAAAAACAAGCTATTTGTATCTCTGTGCTTGTGTCACTCAGTCATAACTATGACTTTCACTGGTCAAAATAGAACCCAACAACTGTTTCTCTACAGCTATGGAGAGCTCAGATAAGACTTGATAGTGCAAAAGGTACAATATATTTTCCCAAAAGCCTCCTGTCTTTCCTTCCAGTAAGAGGAAGTTCTTATTTATGGGACAGCTGCCAAAAGATGAAACTCATAAGTCTGCTTTTGTCCAAGTAAGTTCATACCAGCAGCTGGCACTTCCTAGAGTAGAAATCACTGCTTCCACGTATGGGGAATTTGTCCTGAGATACACACACATTGTGGATGAATGTCCCAGACCCCTCTGAGCTGCTCCTGATCCCAGACACTATGGTATTGCTCCCCTCCTGCATGGGGGGGTGGGTTGTAGGAGACAGGAGGGCACCTCATGCCATTCAGATGTTGGAGATTACTAATCCCATGGTTTCTCTTCTGTCAGTTTCTAAAAACTCTCTAAATGTTTCTATGGATGAGGAACTTGCCTGTGTTTCAGTGCCAGTAGTGTGAAGCTCTGTTTGAGGATGCAGCGCAGTGCCATGTGCCAGCCATGGCTTTGCAAGCCAACCGTTGTGCTGTTGGGCAGTTCTGGCAGTGCATTTTGGAAGGCAAAAGCTACTCCAGCTCTCCTTTCCTCACTTTCAGCTGGACTTACAGGGCAACAAGAAAGTGCATACATGCTGGAAGACGGCAAAGGGCAGCAGGATGGGGCAGTGGTGCTGTGTTGGGAGAGTCTTCCCTTGGCACAGCCTCACTCAGAATGATTTTGCATCAGGGCCTGAGAAGCATGGGCTGGTAGGGCAGAGGTTTTAGGGCTCTGTTTT